AGGAAAGAGATGCTTCTAAGTCCCAGGGTGGGTGGGGAACCTTATCTCTATTTATAAATATGTATAGTGGGCTTTTTTCCTCACCCTGATTCATGTCCCAGACATCTCCTTCCCAGCAAAAAGACATTTTTTATTGCAATACTTGAGTAATCAGAGCTATTTGAAGTCTGAAAGGGTCTGTACATTCATGTATCCAGTTTGATTCCTTCCCCACTGAAAAAAAAGTCAGTTTAACACAATTAAGACAGGACAGCGAGTCAGCTGTTCCTGCTGCATAGATTTACCTGCTAAATGAAAGAACTGTTCCTTCAGTGTACTTCCACACTTCATTTCATTTTTATGCTATTAATAAACGGAGAAGTTATGCATTCAATTACTTTTATTTGCTTCAGACTCATGTTAAATATATACAATGCTAATTATGTACAAAAGTGTGCATGTTAAAAATTGTCAGGTTACAAACTTGCAAATCCTAGAAAAGTGCAAAATTTTAAAACATCTTCCACCATGCTGTACAGGAAAAAAAATCCATCATTAGCCAATATACACACTCTTAAAACATACTGATCAAAACAAAGTAAGACATACAGTATACACTTAAAGCACCCAGAGGGAAAAAGATATTGCACAGAAGACTGACAGCAAGTTCATTACAGTGCCTGAAGGCTCATTTTTGAAAGTGGCTATTTCCAACACTCCTCAGACCTAACATTAACTCTTTAGAAAGGCATTTTTTGGCATTTAAAAATCCATTTGTAATCACATAATTGCACAGTCTGTAAGAATTATCAGAAGATATGGTTAACTGTTGCTGTAAGGCCTTTGCTTCCACTCCCTCATTAGCTTTAGTAAAAATTCATCAGGCAAACTGAATAGCATCACAGTTTCCATCAAAACACTGACCAAAGGGAGGTAAGTCTCACACATAGCATTTCTCTAAGCTTATATCAAGCTGCTCCTGCATAGTAAAGGTTTGTATCAGAATACTTATTGCAAGTTTTCCTTGAATTCTTTTTTCCCCCTCATGGCTTTCTTTAAGCGACAGCTCACAGCTGCATGTGACTAAAGCAGTACTGTCAGGTGCAAGACTTAAGTTTATTTTAAAAAGTTATTTCAAGGCAAAAAATATGGCTCCCTTAAGAGGAAAATACTGACTAGACAGGAAGCTAAATAAACAAGTGGCCTCAGGTTCAGTTAGATCTGTGATGTATATGGCTGGAAGTTTTATATTCCAATCTCAAAACATCTTAGCAGCTTTAAACCATAATCTACACTGATAATTATGCTTCTGGGACAGAAGACGTGTTATGAAATTGTGTCTGTGCTGAGTATAATCACAGACAAAGCCTGGACATACCTGCCAAATTTTCCAAGTCAAAACTAGGAATAACACACAACTGAAGGAACTCTATTGAAAAGAAGTGAAACACATATTTTATCTGAGCCATGTAGGTAAATGGTAACTAAAAGAAAGACATACCAGTCTTCTTCCACAGATACACAGCAAAAAGGTGAATTAAAACAAAACAAAGGGCAGTTCCTCACATATGGGGTGGGGTGTTCAAGACTGCAGGAAGGTCAATGGCACTCGACTGAAACTGCAGAGCATGTTATGGTGCCACTCAGAGGCATTTCTGCATTTAGGCATCTAATGACTACAGTAGTGAAGAAGGGGACAATAGCATTTTATCAATTTTTAAATGTTTTTCTTTAATTGCATGCTTCCTTCAAAAGTATGTTTTAACAAGGTCAATTAGTAATAAGGTTGACTCCTTGGGATGGAGGGAAAGACATATTCCAAACACTTCAGTTGACTCTAACATTGGCATCCAGTGAGCCCACAAAAACTTACTCTCCCCCAAAGGAGACAACTAACAAGTGTCACGTTTACAACTGGAACTTACATAGCTTTTAAGCCAAAGAGCATAAAAAGACCTAGAAGCACATGCTTGAATTTCCACCCAATTAAATATAACCCTGTGTAGTGCTTTCATATAACAGTATTAGATCAGGCCTTAGGTTCACATTAGGATATGCATTTATATGTGTGTGCTTCTTTTTTTAACTCTTTAAAAGGAAAAAAAGGAAAATATTCACAGCACATAGGCTCAGCATTATCCTAGCCAGCAAGGTGCCTTTAGCAGTGGAAGACAGGAATGCTTTCAGGTGATACAGAGCACATACCTACACAGACTCTCAATGTAGGAGCAGAAGGATGTTGACATTTCTACACCCCTTCTAGCTCTAAAGCTCTCTACCATTCCATAATCTGTATATAGATGCATGTTTTCAGCTAAATACATGTACACATTAAAAGCTTTGTGCAGCATTTGGTTCCTTGACTTATATTTTCTAAGGATTTTGTTAATTAAGATTGGGAAAGACTTGCAGAGGAAACAGGGAGGAGGGAGACATGATTTAGGGAAGTGAGGTATACAGCTCCCATTGACTAAGGCAAGAGTTAAAAGACCTACCTAATATTGTGCATTACAGATAAAAATAAATTTATCATTCCTGCAGGACTGTCTTAAAGCAGAACAATGTTACTAGTCCCATATAGAATTTTTCCAGTGCAGAAACTTAGTTCTTTGCTTTCATTTAAAGGACAAAGAAATACAACTTTCAAGAGGATCCTTATAAAACAGTCAATTGACTAGGCTATTTAAAGCCTGTGAAGACTTTGATAAACCTGTTTTGTGATAATATGCATAATCTAAGATACACCAGAGGGGAAAAAAAGCTTCTTTATATCAATGTTGCAGATTAGCAAAATAATTGTAATGTGGGTATAGGTTAATTTGGTTTTTGGGGGGGGAAGTTGTGGGTTTGTGGGTGTTTTGTTTTGTTGCTTTGAGGTTTTTTCCTTTTTTTTTTTTTTCCTTTTTAAATCAAACAGGCTTCCTAAAACCTAATTTCCATAATGTGTAGTTTAACACTGAGATAATTATTTTGTGCTGGTAAGGTACATGGATGATAGAAGACGTGGTTTCTAGATATCCTATGAGCAAGTAATAGATAACAAGTACATTGATATAGAAAAACTTGCATAAGTCAAATGCTAAGTTGAAGAGCAAGCACTTCACTTTCTGTATGGTTGTATAGTACAAAATCAGCAAAGACTAGATGGGATTCTTCACTATATATAAAAAGACAACTAAAAATACTATAATGAATTATAAGTAAATTGATAAAGAGAAATTTAGCAAACATTTTACTTGAAATAAAGGAGAGATGTCTTCTAAATATCCTTTGGTATCCAAGCTCAAAACTGTGCTATGGAGAAGTTACTCAATACTGCTAACTACTTGATCTCATGTATGTACAGGTGTGAAAAGCCTGTCAGTTTTCAGTTTCTTTTAGATATATATATTTACACTCCTACTTACTCATCTTCAAAGGTAAGCACATCTTAAACATGATAAATAATTAGAGTTTCTCCAAAAATTAAAAATAGTATCACCAAGAAGATGGTGACAAATGTAGTGCTATGAAACAAATGTCACTTAAGACTTTTTTATTCTAAATTCTTCATTGGAATTCTCATCTCACAGCTGTACTTTTTACAGTTAAATAAATCTTTGTTCAAAACCAAATAATCTTATTTCACCAGTACTATGTGACAAACAAAATGGGATCCTAAGCTTTATTGACTTGAAGAAATTGAAGAACTATGGAAGTCAGTTCACTAATTCACAGTGCACTGCATAACAGACTGCAAATCAACCAACCTAAACAACTGATCAGAAAAATTTTCTGTTTTTAAAAAATTATTTTCTACTTTTTATTCAAATAAGTTAAAACCAAAAAAAACAACGTGCCAGCTAATGCTCACACTTAACGACTTTTATCTTTTACTTGAAGCTGGTTTTAGATAAAGGCAAAGTGCAGACCTTCAAACCTATGGAGGTTTCTCCAGAAGGCCTCTGGCAAGGACACCAAGTGTGTGATGGTGTATACCTCCCATCCCTCAAGGACCAGAGAAAAGATCAAAAGGCAATGGATGTTGCCACTCTTCCTGGAGCATAAAGCAGCTCAGAGCTCATCTGTCCCCCTCCTCATTCTGCAGCTGCTTTGTGCTGAACACAAACTAGCCTCACGTTTGAGAGCCCAAGAACTGTCCACATTTAAACTTGTCCCATGTATTTGTGAAGATCACCCAATGCTTGTGATGCATTGATATGATGGTATTGAAATGTCATAGGTCTTCATCATAAACTATTTCCTCCCCAATTATTGCAACATATTTTACTTAAACTGACACACTGTATTCAGTATTCTTTAATATTAAACTACTAAAAATGTCAATTCAACTATTGTATAAACATACCTAACCCACAGTAGGATGTTTTCAAACCCTTATGCAAACCTCTCTAAGCAAGTGCCAAAAAGAAAACTACGCTCTCACCAAACACTAGGAAAGACCCATCTCCTCCATTTTTCCACTTTATTCTGCTAGCCCAAAACATCTTAATTTCCTGACCCCTTCCCCTGCAAATAAACACTTAGCCTCATATATGCATTTAAACACAACATATATGCATACTTACAAAAACCATCATCTCAATGCCCCAACTGAGTTTTTCAATTTCCCATAACACAGAAAAATCTCACATTCTGAGCTGAAATTCCTCTAAACTACTCTCTAAAGAGCCCCCCTGCAATCCCTTCTTCATGAAATTATAATGGACAAACATACTTCACATTCTCATGTACAAACTTTATACTTCCAGAGTACCCTCAGTATTCTTACTGGATAGGTAACTGATTAAAAATAGTATTTTTCAGTTCTCTATACCTTATTTGAAAATATGGGATGTGGTTGTAAATTTTTTCTTTTACATACATGGAGTATGAAAAGAAACCACACCACTCTACTTTTGGGAATTTAATCCTCTCTTGGCAAGTGACTCAGGAAAATAATTCTTACTTCCTCCTAACTTTCCAGACAATCCAGTCTGTCACAGTGATAGTTAGAATATTGCAACTATGCATAGACCCACTTGTTCACTAGTCTCATTTATTATTTCATTTACAAAAGTTAAGAAAAAGCAACACAACTTTCTTTACACAGTACACTAATCAGTCATTAAGAGGGATTTTTTTTTTCCAGTAAAGAAATTGAAGAGAAGAAATCAGTTTTAATGAGACTAATAGAAATTGTAAAGATTATCCTTTAGCAGGGTAAGGAGGTATTACTATTTCTACAGAGTTAATAAATATTGTGCTTAAAGTTAATGAAATGAGATTATACATTATGCAGTTCCTCAGGTAGTTCAACAGCTCTCCAGCCACAGGGAATATCTGATAACATTTACAAGAGATATAACACACATCCATTTCAATAAATAAATAAAAAATAACAAGAAAAGTGATGGTAGAGGGAAGGAAGGGGTAGCCAAAAGGGAACATGCTATCTAACAATCACTTATAGTTCAGCCTTGTATCTATACTCCCCTTATCCCATGGTATTCTCTCTTTTAATAGACATACATACATGAATATACATATATATACACATACACACATATATACACATACACACACCTTCACACGCTGATCCAAAAATTCATATTTTTCCCTCAGCACCAGGCTTTCCAACAGTATGGGGTTTATCATTTAAATCAGTAACATTATAAAAACGTCAGAATGATAGGAAAATGCATACCCTTCTATCACCATATATTGGTAAACCGAGAAAAAAACCAAAACAAACCAGTAATGCCTTCTCCAAAACATAGCATGCAATTGGATACAGCACGTTTAAGGATCTAGTATTTTCTTTTACTAGGTCTTAAATGCATCTTCAAAATGTTCATCTGTTTTTCCCTGCTTGTTTTTACAGGAAAAAGTATGGCTAACAACTGGTTTGGTGAACACCAAGTCAAGAAACAAACAGGTGCTATTTTTAATTAAATTGTGCTGCAATGTTGCATAATGATTCTGCAGTGGAAATTTATCTTCTATTTGCAGGATTTGCCTTACTAATGAAGCAGATTGATCTTTGACCAAGATAATGATTCTTCCTCTGTATTTCTACAAGATATTAAATATACCATGGGATTTCTTGGTGTGTCTTAGTCTACGTGACAATATAAATAATTTTCAGCAGCAAGTATTTCCTACCTCCTTCAGCTCCTTCACCACCTTCAACTCCTTTTAAGTTATTCATGTCTGTACTTCAAAAAATCTCTGATAATCAAGTAGTGCAACACAGATGTTCCTTACAGAACAGCGTAAAACTGGAACTGCACAAAAGACAGCAATAGCCATTTACATGAACAAATTGCAATAAAATGTTCACTGGGCTAAAAAACATATTGAGAAGGTCATAACTGTCAGCTATCCCAATTCTGAATCCAACCATTGCAACTGCCAGAATTTTAATTTATTGGGGAATAACAATGCTGTCAAAGCAAAGCCAAATACCTTCTTTGTGATCAAGGAGCATCTGGCCCTATTCAGCTTTAAATCAAATGCTACTTATCTAAAATTCAGTTAGTAAGCTTGAGTTTGGAAACTTGTGGGTTTTTTGGTTCTGGGGTTTTTTTCCCCTCCCAAAACACAGTTTTAGCAGCTGTTGAGAGAGGGATACTGCTGTGACCAAGTCAACACAGTTAGGGAAAATAGCAAGCAAGCTAACTTGCATGAGTACATATGCTTACTACTATACCTCTAACATAGGTTCTTCGTCAATAGACTTAAGAATCAAGCCCCTGATTACATATTTATACATTTAAAGTGACAAAAAGATTAAATATGTTTCTGGAATCCGTGAGAGAAGGTAGAAGCAGCAATCACTTGGAATCTTGAGTGTTATATTCAGTCTCTCCTGATGAAATCTGGCTGAGCCGTTTGCTTGATCCCCACAGCTTTCGGGAAAGCTGACCTGAGCGCATCTGTTTAAAAGTAATTCAGAGAAACAAAAGGAGGGGGAAGGGATAAGGTGGATAAATTAAAAAGGAATTCAGACACTGATTCTGGTGAAATGCAGACACTACAATGTACTGCATAAACAAAACTATATCAACAAAAATTATTCGAAAACAAACCAGAAGTAACACTTAGGGATGATTCTTGGGACTGACAAAAAACAACACACAAAACACCACAGTCTTCTCTGATTTTGAACAGCTAAAGGGATATTGCCAAGTAATGTACACTTATATGCTTAACCTCCTTCAAATGGCCTAGAAACAGTGTTTAGATTGCTATTTTGATAGGAAGGGAAAAAAGAAGTGGATGTCAAGCAAGAATGAATCAAATGAGAAGAAAGGGCATTTTATTTTAGAGATTTCAAATAGTGCTAGAAGTGAAAAAGAAAAGATAACCAAGATGCAGGACAGTGATGGCAGAATGAAGGAAAAAGAGAAAGGTTATCTCCTGGTGTCAAATTTATAGTCTTCCAAAGATCCTGTGTGAAGTGCTCAGAGTAAAATTTAAACCAGAAGTAAGTCATACTGAGTACTCCACAAGTTAAGACAGATAACAAGCAACCAGAGGCCATATTAAATCCAGCATCTGGTAGGTCTACAATCTGACAACAATTTGTAAGAAACTGTTTTACTGCCAAAGTACAAGGTTGATGATTGGCCAGTAGTGATCAGCCTGGCAGCTGATTAGGTTATGAAATTCCTTGCAGTTCAGTAAACAAGATGCATGCCTTAACAACACAAGTTCAGGAACGGTTCCCCCCAGTTACTACTACAAATTTAACAAGCTTAAGAACTGTATTATTACAGCAGCAGTGTTCTAGAAAAGGCACAGTGCTGACCAGGATTAACACTAACATTTTATAATTGCCCAGACTTCTGCAACATCCAAACCAGCTAAGTAACTGTTAAAAACACAAAAACATTTATTATATTTCATACTAGATACTGCCAATGTAGAAACACTAAAGGCCAATCTTAATACCAAGCAGCATTTCCCTTTATGCACATTAGAGAAGGTCACTCCTATGGATCCAATCCTCTGTCCTAAGGATCAGTATCACCACTGAAAGCCAGAACTACAACACTGTCTTCTGTATACAGATAAATTCTAGTAATTAATTCCTTCCAAACGAAAAATAAATCATTCAATAAATAAACACCCCACATACATACACTTTTCAAATATATTGATTGATGCCATTATAGAAAACTAGAAAATCTGGGACATAATATTCCTTATATGTTTGTGCTTTAAAAAAAAATCTATTTACATGGATATTAACTTGAAGATCATCTGAAATATAAACAGAAAATCCTGGAAAAAAAAATCATTGGAAGGCCTCTACAGTCATAAAAGGAAACCAGTCTTTGAAACAACACTTTCTGCATAGTTAGAAAAATAGATATGATTAAGAACCGAAAATAAGAAGAAAAAAAGCCTTCAGTCTAATGATACATACAAATTTCAGCCTACAAAAGATCTTTCTATGGAATAGGAAGCTTAGAAATGACAGTGACTTTAAAACTGCTGTTACAAACATATGTTTAACCATATCATAATCAGCTCTTTGTCAATTCTACAATAGAATAAAAGCTGTTCAACTGGAAGTCAGTAAAAACCAACCCCACCGCATCTGCTGCAAGCAAGATCAGACTACCACTGTGTGAAGCCTATTTCCATTCTTAAACTGTGTATCTCCTAGCTAAAACATACTGAAATACTGACAAGTAAGTTCTCTTTTATCACATTTAAAATATAAAATTAAATTAAGACACTTTTCTGGCATGTACTAAAGGTCATGCAAAAGTGATAATCACATTTTCAAATAAATACATTGCAGCACAACAGAGATCCAGTTATAGAGAGAAGCAGGTTTAAGCTAACTCAAGTACTTTGAAAGTCATGACAAGAAGTACTTAAAGCAAAACCTATGTTTTGCACAAGAAAAACTGGGCATATCTATTTGACAGATGGATGCTGTGTATTTGATATTGCATATGCAGTACCAACAAGTTATATTCACCATATGGAGCACTGAGCATACTGAGAACCTACAGAAGTGATTCTTTGTGCATTGCAATTAGAGACTTTAAACAGAAAGAAGTAATATTTTTTCCCCCCAATGTCAGTCAATGCATATTAAAAGATATCTGACAGAAACCGTAAAAATAAACAAAGTGGCTTGCTCTCTTTTTTTCCAACTTTCTTCAGGGAAATTATTTCATCAAGAAGTGGCTGACAACACTATCCCGTTCAGAAAAGATTAGCTATTATGACTTTGCTTATTCAGATGTGAGTGATAAAGTCTGGAAGTTAGTCCAGCTGAGCTTCCCATCTCCGATCCCTACATACCTCTGATTCTTAATGAGAACTTTCAGTAGAGCAGTCTCAACAGTTATTTGTTTCCCACTGAAAACTGAAACTTGCTCTTAAATTTACCCTGCCATAGAGGAGACCTCTTGCTCAACTGGAAAGCAGAAATAAGTGAACTTCCCACTGTTCTGTAGAAAAAGTTCTTGATGGTAGGTTTTACCTCTGCTGGCTTGCCAACACCAACGATAATCAACTTGCCATCCTCCAAGCCAACAAGGATGTGGCTGTACTCTTTGGTGACAGAAATGCAATGAATTGGCAGTCGCATGGCTAAGGGGGAGATGCTCAGACTCAGGCTGAAATGAACCAAAAAAAACACAGAGAGAAAGTACATCACATATTTGTTTGCACATACTGCAAAGAATCACACTGCAGTTGAAATGGCTGTCAACAGGATGCACTATAAAACACGCTTTCTCAAGGATCCAGTTTGCAATTTCCATTATTGTAAACTCCTACAGAACAATGTAATCATATCCCAGAACAGAGCTTCAATAACAAGTAAAGGCATTGATGGGTAAGCCAGTAAGCTAAGACATTTTCACTGAAATATAGTAACATTAGTACCACAGCTGCCTAAGTGACAAAGATCACTCCCATTCTGAGGAACAATGGAACTCTACAGAGAGTAGCAGTAAGTGGAGTTTAAAACTCAGTGCAGAGCAACATGAGACTTGATCCTGCAGTTGCTGAGCTCCCTGTCACTAATCAGAGGAAAATCATAGTTTGCAAATGTCAGACACAGCTCCTCCTGAATTCTGTCAGTTCTAGGTGTCTAATTGCGATAAATGTCTGGGAAGAAAGAGGTCAGTTACAACCTCTTATTTTATTTTTCTCCCTGTCTTAGTTCTCCCCAAAAAGTTTTTTCAGGAACACAGGAGTTGCCTATAGCACCAAGCAAAGTCCATATTATACAGCCATTTTTCAATAAGCCCTTATATTTGTACTATTTGTACCTCAATAATAAACTACTGATGGTGGCACATTACCTGTAGAGATCCCGTATGGAGAGAAATCCCTGTAAGCTGCCCATCACGATATACTCGCCAGTCACACACATATCTGACACTTCCTCCTTCAGAGTCTCAGAACCCAGATATTTTCCATTGACAGAATAGAGATGTAATGCATTCTTATCCTGAATAGATCAAAAATAAGTATGTCACAGAGGACTGACAGAATAAAGAGTGTAGCATCTGTATCCTCAACTCACTAACAGGAGCAAACCCACAGACAATGTTGAAAACAGCCTCCTTGTTGAATGATACAAGAGTAGCGATTCTACACTCAGTAAGTATGGATGCAAGGTCCTGTAAGGAAATTTTTGAAGTTACCTCTTTATGTAACATTGTAACATCTTACCTATCAATTTAATTAATTCCAAATCTCCAGGAAACATCATGGATTTAATAGACAGGTCCCTATTTTATAAGGATTTTTCTTAAGGAAGAAGAAAGGAAGGCAGCACTCATCTTCAGCCTTGCTACCACCCTCCTCCCCCCCTTCCCCTCCCAAAATGAAAAGCAGAAGGAAACAAGTATATTTCTAGAGTGCTAGATCTAAAAGCATTTTCTGGACAAGGCAACAAATTCTTGATGGATTAAAGACACTAAACTAACAAAAGTGTCTTAAATTCTTTCAGCCTGACAATACCTTGGGTCTCTTCTCTCCCCAATGTAGCTAGTACGCCTAGATAAAAAAAAATTTGTCTACCAATAAATTTCCTATGCTCCTAGAAATCACAACTTGATTCCTTATTAAAGCAACTGCACAGCTCCTCAACAGGCAGAATAAGCTACCAGTGAACCTTAGAGCTATGTCTCCAATCTGAAACTAAGAAACTGTAGTCACTGAGCATCTTGCACACAGAACTTATTGCTCCCCTTACAAGCCCTTGTTTCTGTGCACAGTGGAACTTGTTTCCCCTAGTTTTCCACTTCGAAGCAGCTTTCCCAGGAATATTTGTTAGCCTATGCTTAAGCATCTTCCTTGCACGTGTTTGGAGATCTTCATGAAACTCACAGGAGCACAATATGCCTGTGATTTATCTTTTAATCAAATTTCACTGAAATTGGCTAGAAAAATTCAAAAAATATGAAACAGACACTGCATGTTCAAAAGGCCTTTCCCTTAGGAAATAAGTTAGGTATATTTACGATTAAAGTCTTCAGTGACAGAAACAGAGGTATTCCATGAACCTAAGTACCTTAAGAGTAGTCTTTCCTTCTACGCTGGTGTGGACAACTATATGTCCTTCCCAGGACACAGCCAGATTGGGAACAGTCAGCAGGAGAGAACTCTCACAAGGTGGTCGCAAAGTCCTCACGTACTGACCTTTCCGAATAGTGCGGACAATAACAGTGCCATCCTGCAGCAACCAAAGCGAGGCAAACAGTTACTCAGCAGGCAAGTTACCACAACACTTACACAGAGAGGATACAGGGAATACTTTGAAAGCACTCAAATCCTTAACGGGAGATAAGGACAAAGAAGCCTTCCCCTCAAGACCATGCACTAAAGGCATATGAAAAAACCAAATCCAAGCAGGGCAAGAGGGGGAGGGCAGGCAGCAAATCAGCCATTTCATATGTCACATTTATGAGCTGGCATTATGTGCAGTACAAAGTCAGAGTTCAGCAACCTGCCAGCGTAGTAGAGTAAGGCAGACTATGAGCAAGCTGCACAGGCTTAACAGAGCAGGGAAGAAACTGCCTCAGAATTATTGCTATGGGAAGCTTAAAATCTCCAAGGAAGTCCACACATGTTAAAGCTCATCTGTGCAGAGTAACAGCACATAATAGGTGAGGCCCATGCTGTGCACAGCAGTTTGAGACAGCCCGATGTAAGCAGGCAGCAAAGGAGATGGCACATATCTTCTCACTGCACAAGGATGAAGAAAAAAATTGTGCAATAGTGACATTTTTTGTATTTTTCTTAACCATCCTCAAGTGTGCTCTATGGTTTGAGTAGAGAAGAGGTAAAAAAGGGAAAAGTAGGAAGATGCTTACCCTGGATCCTGACACTGCCATATCAAGTTCAGTGCTGATGCCAACACTCGAAACTTCATCAGTATGCCCATAGAGGATCTGAAATGGCTTAGGTGCCAGGCCTACAGGCACTCCTCCCTGAGAGTAACAAAAAGTGCAATGACACATTCTCTTGCAGCTGAGGACAAACAAAAAATGAATTTCTGGTATCTTCAGTTGTGAGAGGTGTGTATTTGACGTAGGCCAAAACCAAAGGTATAACTCACCCTTTCCAATTTTAATTTACTGCCTTTTATGTCAGCAGCCCTATTCACCGAAATCATTTGAATGAACAAACATGCAGTTACTCCGTGTGTGTGTGTGTGTGTGTGTGAGAGAGAGTGTGTTACTTAACTGTCTTGTCTCTATCCCTTCAGGTGTCCAGGAGTGCAAGGGCCACAGTGAGCAGTCCTAACAGGGCTTGTTCACCCCCCCATCCACACATTTATTCTTTGCCTGTGTATCTGGGCTTGTCCAGTTCTTACAGTTTACCCTGGAATCAAGCACTATCTCCACAGCTAAGTTTAAAGAAGCTGAAGGCTATTTTGCTTAAAATAGCAGCAATCCTTTCATTTTCTAAGGAAAAGTAAGGAAATAATCCTTCTCAGTGACTACCAGTAGCGTGATATGCAAAGGAAATCTTGCAATAATGTTCATGAAGAATAGTAATTTTCCTACATAACTGCAGTGTATCACAACTTTTCTTACAGAGAGTGTACTGCCAGCACACACAGACATTCTCAAACCAATTCTAAGGCAAGACCTGTACTTAGAGAGAAGGTACAGTAAACAGTTCTGCAGAGAACTATTTGTTCTCATTTCTCTGATAAAAATTTGACTGCAAACCAAGTCCTGAAAGCCTGAAGCATGCAGGAATACAGAACAAGTGTCAAAATACAGGGCTGGGAAAGAGAAGAGTGACAGTGCAGAGAAGACAATTAGAATGGAGCTGCCAGTATGCAGCCCATTGCTGCCACTTTGTAAAGACCAAGATAAAACTCTCACAAGAAGAATTTATAATACATAAAACATCATTCTTATATCTATTAAACAAAAAACACATTCAGATCTTAAGAAAAAGTAATTCTAAACAAAGATAATCTCCAGAGGATGACTGTTCAACTCACACTGAAAAGACAAACTAAAAATTTTCCAACATTTATCCCCTCTTGAGACAAAAAAATACTGGTATGAGCTCTAAGGTCTCACTTTTTTTTGACCCTGCACTGTTACTATAGTTGAAAGAACTGTGAATACTCCCACCATAGAGACAGCTTCCACAAAAACACATGCAGTTATGCACCACTCTGCTGCTTTAATGTGCTGACTTCAGTTCAATAAGAACAACAAGACCCGACCAAAACATGACAGTTCCCCTGTGACAGTTAATTCTACTTGTATATCTGGAATGTAGCAGTCAGAAATGAATATTTTAAATGCATAACAATGGAAATGGCTTCACATTTTTAGTGTAAGCACAGACCTGGATCACACAACCACCTTCACTGTGTGAAAGCACAAGACCAATATTAAAGAATTCTCAAATGACAGTGTAAATGCAGGTAGTGGACTAGCTCCTATTGTAGACATCAATATTCTCCACAGAGAAAAGGCAGTGCTAAAATGCAACTACTGGAGTGAACAACTGCCTAGAAATGTAACATTCCTATTTTCCTACCATGAAAATAACCTACAAAATCTTTAAAAGAGCTTCTAAAATAGTGTACTTCACCTATATAGTAAATAACGTGGATAGTTTTTCAAACAGAGAAGACAATGGGAGTAAAATTATTAAGCTAATCAATTTTAGTGGACTATCTTCCTTGCAAACCTGAAGGGAAATCAACAAAACATCATAGCAAAACAAAGAAGGACAAAAATACATTCAGAAAACGCTTCTCAGAGTACACCTAAGTAACATACCTGCTGAACTATTTGCCATATCATACAGGTAGTATCTCTGGAGCCTGAAATTAAATGAATTCCACAGTAGTCTATTGCCAAGCAGGTCACAATATCTAGATAAAGGAAAAAAACCAGAAAGTTATCACATTGGTATTTAAGACTAATTTCCCACAGACTGACAATGTGGATACAATTTGGCAACAACATATCCCGATTTGCATCAGCATGAAATCCTCCACTGTGATAAGGGCTGATGAGACTCTTTGAAACAATGAAGTCATGGTGCAGCCAAGTGTACCAACCAGACCTATTCAGCCTTGTTACCTAAAAACAGCAGGCAAGCCTTATTTTGAACCTAGATTAAACCACCACTCCAGTGACTAAAAAGCCATGTTCAAGTATTTATGTATAATCATGGTTCAAGCATTCTTTCATTCTTATGCTGCCACTGCTTCATAACTGCTATGTTTGTTTGCCCAAGCCTATAATTCCTTCCAAGACCACCAAATAACAAGGTACACACATAAACCCTTTTTATTTCATAATACAAAGAGTTACTAACCCATGTGCCTGATGTGCTGTCCGATCAGCTTGCCTTTCGTGAGAGATGTCACCCTGATGCTGTTGTCCCAGTGTCCTCCACTGAAGAGCAGCTTTGCATCATGGGACACTGCAAACAGCTTTGAGGTGATCTCCAGCCCTGGTGCAAAAGGACCACTCATGTTGCGTTGGGTTCTGTAGGCAAATGATGGGCAGTTAAGAGTAACTTTAATTCAAATCTATGTATTTTGCACTTCCTCTATCCTTAAAAATCCGTTACAAACTCCATCTATAAAGGAGGCTATACCTATGGCAAAACTCTCACTGCCAACAGCAGAGTGGAAGCAAGATTTTACATTAGATATTTTCAGTCTTTTATGCAATTTGATAACTCATGTCCTTACTAAGTACTGTAACATCTAAGAGAAAAAGGAACATTCTAAAACCAAAAACCCCAAACCAGCAGATACTGTGTAAGAAAGTATGAAGACTGCCCATCCTGGATTTCAAGATGAGTTTTTATGATTGATAATTAGAAAAAAATTGGAAGTAGCTCTAAGAACAGCGAAGTTTGAAATGACACATAACTCTTTACTAGAATGCCGTTACAGACTAGGTGTAGTATTAATGAATATCAGAAGATGAATTCCTAGGTGAAAACTCAGACAATGGAAACAGAACAATCCATTGATAGCTGAAGAATTGCTGTATTCCATTAGTTTAGATGTATTTATCTGCACCCCTCCTCATAATTTGCTTACTTGGGATTTGTCACTGTGGTATCTCTGATGAATGTAAAATAGTTGGAGATATTTTTATCATAAGGTAGCCAACCATGAGTCCCAATAATGCAGTTCAGACTTGCTGTTACCTAAAAAAGTTTGATTTAAAAAAAAAATGGTGAAACTGAGAGGTATATTTTCTGATTGCCTTCATGGTAATAGAGCTTGCTTCTTGAAAATTTATCACAAAGGAAAAACCACATGTAACTCTTCCCCAACAAACAAGTAAAAACTCCAGCTCAGATGAGTTAATCCACATGTGGTACATAGTATCAAGCTAGAATAGTGTGTTCTAGATAGGTCAGAGAAGGTGGGGTGGAGGGACAGGCAGGAGACAAAAAATGAAAAATCTCAGCTGACCAACCCCTCTCAAACATTTAATTACAATCCAGTCATTTAATTTAAGTTGCTGTTTCTTCTCTTCTTTGAATAGTAATCATTAGCAGTTAACACACTAACAGAGGAAGTTTTAAAAACATACTACAGTTCCATTTCTGAGGAAGTAAACAAAAGAATCTAAATATGTAAGGTATTTTCATCAGATATTTATAAAAAAAAAAAACCATCATTTTAGATGTGTCCAAATTCCAAATAACATGCATGTACCACATTAAGCCAGGACAATAATTTTGACCTACAAAATAGGAATATTGGAAAAGAATATTCTTTCCTGCAAAACATAACATTATTGCACTAGGACCAATATCTAGGCCATATATATATACAGATGTAAATACAAAACCACTGTCCTCATTATTTGGTCATCTGCCATAGTACCAGAACCTGTATTAGTGCAAAAGTTAGTTTTAGCAACAGTGCAGGTCTTTGGCGTGTGTATGTAACACATATGGTATATTTTATATATGAGTTGGAAAGCAATGATAAAGACCATTAATAACTCAATCCCGTAATTTTAAATCTGGGCTACATTGCACTAGGAAATTGGTTGCTATGTGGAAGTGAATCAAATGAGCAACTTACAATATGCCTCGCTACAACTTACAGTCATGTCTCATCAGCTCTTTAATGCCATTCAAGAAATCAGCCTCGCTTCTCCTTTGGAAGATAAATGTTTAACTTATAGCTGACATTCATTATAGGTTAAAGGAACACATCTGAACAGGAACAATTAAGTGTTTCTCTACATGCTGTATGAAAAAACCCAAAGAAACATCCATCTGACTGTCTGCAGTATAATAACAGTATTGACACATGCAACTCACCAAGATCTCTGGGCTTCCCTGAGAAATAAAGGAACGTGACTGATTCCTGGGAACAACAGCTTTGACAATGGGCACACCATCACTAATTCCCTAAAGAAAAAAAAAAAAAAAAAGACATGCTTTTGATCTGATTATATCCAAGAGCAAAAGGACAACTCTAGAAACTGTGAAGAGTCAGATCCAAAGCCTCTGGATTCAGTGTCAGACCTGTACAGTACTCTAAGACACTGGTACACACACATTCAGTTCATGTAGGTATGCTTTGTCCCAAGCACTGGAAATGAAACCCTGGCTCTGCCTCAAATCAGTGAGTTAAGCTATCAAGTTCAGTGAGTCCTCCAACACCACCAGTGACATCTTGAGTTTTCTTGGTGTGGTGACTAATTTAATATTTAAACAACACACACACAAGCATCCAGCAGATACATATTTATGGGATTCAACCTCTATGAAGCTAACTAAAAAGACAGAGTTCATTTTATACACATTGCATTGTAAAATATTTTCTTTAAATAGGAAGCAAGTTTATTTTCATCTACGTTGTGACCTTTTGTTTTGAGTACATCAGAAGTTTCAACTAGACTTTAAATAACTTCAAGTAACACATCTACCTCTATGAAGAATGACTTCAGTTCAGTGAGGTGTTGGAAGAGATTCAGAGTAGAGGTATCACTTTTAGTTAGTCTTTGCACTACCTCTTCTGCTGACAGCCTTTGTGGATGGGGCTCCTAGGAAGCAATATGTGAAGGAGTAACAAATTAGACTAATTTATTAATTTGTTCAATACACGAGATACTCAGAATCTTAATGGGAAAACAGTCTTTTATGTACCTAATTTCCCTTCTTTAAGTAAATTTATTTGGAAAATGGGTTATTTGCAAATGTTAATGTAACACAGACTTAACATTCCTAAAATTACAAGTAATTATCTTACAAAGCATTATTTTTTCAGAAGTCCTTTGTAACTCAGTTGTATTTCAACCACAAAGGTCTGGTTGAGTGGGAACAAAAAAGCATTACCTTCAACAGCTGACAGGGAGTTTGCCCAAAATTGTTTATCATCCCTTCTAAAGCTTTCCTTTCTTTTTCATCTGTTAAAGCATCCAAATCCACAGCCCCTGTATCACAACCAGAATGATAAAGAGTAGAAAGATGGAAAAAAACCACAATCCAAACAACTTACTGATAACCCATATGCAAAACTTATTTGCAGCATTATCATCCTTTACCTGAGGAAAGCCCCCAAACAATGCATCCATTTAAAATATAAGTATATCCGTAAGCAAAAGAATTCCAGCCTTTTTTCTTATCAAATGAATTTAATATACTTCAGGCAAGAAACAAATAGCACAGAAAACCCACCCAAGATTTAACTTTGAAATTAACAGATTAACATTTGTCTTCAATATTAGTTGTTTAGAAGGAACTTGCCTTAACTCCTAAACCACAAGAAACCTCTTCCCGTCAGTGCTTTTAAGCAAGCAAATAAGAAACTAACAAAAAACCCCAATAACTTTTAGAAAGAAAAGACAAGCAACTGTAACAGCCCTCCTTTAAAAAAAACAGTACTGGTTATTTGATGGTAAATTACAAGTTATGCTGCCATATTTCATCTATAAATCTGCTCCCTTACCATATGCTACTGCATGGTATGTTCACAAAGCAAGTGTTTTCTGTCTAATACTGAAAACTCACAGGTCTGATGACAATGACAAGAGAGCATACTGCTTTGTACCTTCATAAGTACAATAATAGAACACATTAAGTGCCTCCACTGCAGCTGGTCCCCTCTGCTTGTAGCCAAAAATCAAATCTATCCATTCATGAAGATGAGCAGAAACATACTCAGATTCCTAGAAGGAAAAGATGCTCTTGTAAGAATAAGAGAAGTACTGTTCCCATCTTGAAGTGTTTACTACTTTCTGCAGAGGAGATTGAATTACTAAACTAAGAGTATTCACACATTAGGTATTTATCAGTATAGGGCAGAAACATATGAATATTCATGTGTTATGGGCAGTAAGTGCCAGGTAAGAGGGAAAATAATTACAGTCATGCAGCAGATCTGGAATATTGAGATGCAGCTATGCAAGTGAAGGTAACCTGTTAGCTTCCCAATACCATACCCAATAATCTTTAAATAGCAAGGGAAGCCTAATCACCTAAAATCACCTCTTTCTGCATTTTATCTCCTAGGGCAGCAAATGCCCAAATGATTAGTGCCTAAAATGCCCAAAAGACTAAATGCTCTTCTGAGGATTTTATCAACGTACACAGCGTTTTTAACAGGATGTTGTAATGATACTTTTAATGTCGAATGTGACCACAAGACTAGTTGGAATGTCATCCTAGTCATTTTACATTTAAGCCACAGTAACAATGTGCAAATGTACTTTCTTTACAATTATGGCACACGAAAAATCATCTTACCAAAGCCTTCCTGTGTTTATAAATGAAGTCTTCTGGAGAGTGGGCCCATTTGGGCAGAACAACATCATTTACCACCTCTTTTGATATTTGAAGCTGGCCTAAGTTAAAACCTAGTGAATAATTCAGAGAATTTTAAGAGTTACTACAAAATACTTCAAATATCTTGATTTCTCAATAAAGATTAAAACTCGTTCTTTTCTCAATGTAAGGGAAGAACATTGCAAAATTCTTAATGTAAATCTCCAATAACCCTACTACTGACACAAGAGGTTAAGTTCTGCTCTGAATGTTTAAAATTTTAAATGATACAGAATAACAATAATCCAAAGCATTTAAATGATTCTGAAACTGAAGTCCCACCCATAAAAGTAGCATTAATCTTTTACACACTCATCTGTAAACATTTGCTTTTGCTTTATTAGGATTAAGAGTCCAAAACATTTCAGTGAGGTTATTCATAAGAAGAAAGTTACTTGTAAAATCAAGGCTTTCAGGAAGTCTTAAATCCCACCAGCTATCATTGAAATAACTCTAAATACTCAAATTACTTGAAAGTGGGATTTGGGTGTTTCCAATTTTTCTAATTTAGAACTCTAGTAGATTGTACCTAGAAGACTAAAGTAGCAGCAGCACAAAGAGGCAAATTCATTTTTAAACACAAGTAGAGAAACAATTCTCTATACAGTAAGTGTGAATTAAAAATGGCTAGGAGTCTCATGTCAGAATGCAGGATGTTGTTTTTTCAATCAGCATTCTGTATGAGTGAAACAGCCTCTTTTTTTCCCCCTGCCTCTTCTTCTGATGGGTGCTGAAACCTTACATGGCTCTGGAATTGGCTGACATAATATTGCACTGGAATATAAAAGTAACAAGCAGAAAATATGCTGGTTGCCTAGAACAAATAAAAGACCTCAAATGTTTGAAGATGTCCATACTCTATCACCCAATGAACCTAGTAAAAAGAATACTAATTAGTCTCTATTAACTTTTGCTGACTACTTAATCAATATTAACTATTACTACATTTTTCAAACACCCAAATAAGAATCCCTGATACTTTACATCAGGTAAACAACACTATTCTTAACCATCCTTAAGCCTATATTCTGAATTTTAAACATTTAGGCTACTGCTTAGCACAACTGGTGTCTTCATTAAACAGTTTGAATCCAGAATGATGATTATTATCTACAATCACATCATAAAGTCTAAATAAGAAGTGTTCCATAGTATTCACAAATGGTTTTAACAATTCTTTTCTGAAGAATACAAGGACAGCTTTCTGTGAGAATATTCTGAGCAGTCAGTTTACCATTTTGATTCTCCAGGAACTCTGGAAAGTAGAAGAACTCTGGAATAAGTTCCTTGACATCATTGGGGTTGTCCATGAGCGCCTGCCAGGTAGCAGGAATAGAGTGAAACTGCCTGTCAGCACAGTCAAATCTGTGGATAAGAAAACTCAGGTTAGACTTAGGTCATTCCCTCTGAAAAATGACAAGGAAGAAACAGAAATGTGCTGCTTCTTTGCCCACAGCATACCTGCCACTTTGAAGCTGGATATGAAGTGTTGTGAAAGGTTCTACCCGAATGAGGTAATGCATGACACCAGCAGCATTTGAGTAATGTGTCCCATAGTGAAATTTGTCAATCATCCCAAGAGGATCCTCAAAATTCTCATATCTAAAGAAAGAAATCTTTATAAATACAACTGAGCACTACAGTTGATTTACATATGGGTTATACTTATTACAGGTAAAGATTCAAAAGAAACGATCACAGCAATCTGTAACAGAAAAATACACTGGATTCTATCAAGTATGACGATCCCAAATCTTACTTAGAAAGTCCCTAAGCAAAAGGCTGCTAAATTATAAAAATGTACACCAGAAGAAGCCTTTGCATACCTGATATATTCTTCCCTAGGCATTTGCTATCAGCTGTCAGAAATTACCAGCGTAACTTTATACAACAGATCACAAAACTCCACATACTAAGCTGAATATTTACTGTTGAAGATACTTGTGACAATTTCCTGAAAGATTTTAGAAATGTGCGTGTCACTGTGTCAGGACACAGAAGAGAGATTTAACACTCATGCCCATTTCCTTTTCCACTCACAAACTCACTCTACCATGCCACCATCTGGCTGATATATTCCTCAGCATCACAAGGCTAGTAAGAGAAATTATAGTTAATCATACTGCTAAAGAACCAATTATCATTAGAGTCAGGATAGAGCCTAATAATTTAAAGAAAATTCTCCATGTTCCGAGTTTTCAGAAGATTTTGGAAGATACATGACTGCAATCTGGTATGATACCACACTCAGGACCCACCCTAGCAAAAAAGGAAAGATCATTACACTATACTGGTGTAAGTACCTATTATTCCTACCCACACAGAACTTAGCAAAAGTCATCAAGATATGTTTTATTTTAAATACAATAGTCTATGCTTGAAAAAAAGAGCAGTTTTCAACCTGCTGGGCTATTAAATTTTTTCTAGAGCCTTTCAGTTTTTTATCTCCACATCTGAGAAACAACTGAAAATTTATAACAATAAGTTTTGTCCTTTCACTGCCATATAACTCAGTGCCATATAAAATAATCTGAATGCAGCAGGAACAACAAATCAACCACCTTTGTAAATGCATCTGTGATGTTATAAAACCAGCTTTAAAAATTTTACTGTCGTAACAGTGAATGTGTTAATTAGCCTGCAGGCTCAGAAAAGACAGAGAAACATAACGGAGTCTTCCAACACCTACTTGTCTTTCACAGTCTTTGCATTCTTTTCATTTACCACACCTATGGGTTTGGACAGATCCCTAAAGACTGCAGGATTATTCAGGTCCAGTTCTTCTGAAGTGTAATCTCGTAAAATCCAGGGAAACTACCAAAAAAAAAAAAAAAATCAAGATCAAATTGAGATTAAAACTACAAGTTTCAAACCAGAAAAAAATACACAGTTTTGGTAAAAATTTAAAAATTAACTTTTTTAATTACCACGGGATATTGAGCAAGGTCATTGTAAGTTCGTCCTGCCATCGTGTTCAGCTGAATAAGGTAGTCAAAGTTGGATATTTCTCTATTCACCCATTTCTGAAAAAGATAAAATGGATTTCATTATATCAAAGATACCACTAATGCAAACTACATGTCCTGTCAGTATCTATCTGCCAGAGGATAATACTGCCAAGTGAAGGGCACAAGATCACAAAAATGGTATGAAAGTCCAGATTCAATTTCTCATAATAAAGTTAATTTTCCCTGTGATTCAGTGATTCTGCTACCTATATTTCATTGAAAGCAGGTCTCTGATTGATGACAATACTGTTTTTAATACAGGGCAGCAGACAACTAGGAGCCTCAGAATAAAAAAGGCAATGAAAACCAGAAATGAAAGAAACAAAAAGAAGGCAGGTAAACAAGTACTGAGAAAAAAAGGAACAGAACTCTGAAATCCATTAGAATTCTAAGGTCAAAAATTATTTATAAATTGTTCTCCCATTGGTTAATGGTACAAGAATTTGCAATCTAAGCAGAGGTCCTTGCACCTTTGCTCCACTATTATATTTTAAAGCAAAGAACAAACATAGCTGTGTTCAGAAGGGCTCAATATTTGTCTGTAGTGGAGATGGAGACATTTCATTAGACACGATATTTTTTCTACTTAAATATATAACATGATAACTTTTATCATTAGGAAAACAAAACCCAAAGTATTTCCAATACTTCAGTGTTATTTGTAAAGCTTCCTCCCTCAGAGAACGCAATAATTGTGGTATAAAGAGATGGAAGATAAAAATACATTTACTACATCGAAAAATTTATCCATGTTTATGGTAATACAGGCATTTTGACATTTTCCTTTTTTATCAATATTATTAATTCTCACTTAATCTTCATCTGGGTTTTGTTGAAAGCTCCATCATGAAAAGGTAGCAGGGAAAACTATTTGCACATCTGGTGAAAGAAGTTCCAAAATGTGCACTCAATATCATAGACTAAAAACAGAAGCAAGTCTGTTACATGTTTTCCATTCATGTTGGAATGCCCATCAATCACATCAACAGAGCCTGACTCTGTGGATTTACCTGACTGTAAACACAAACCACAACAATTCTAAAAAGATGCATGTGGAAGTTCAGGGGCCAGATGGAGGGTACAAAAGTTGGCAGTTGACATCTAAACACTGGGGGACTCCTTCAAAAAGCAGAGGAATGCTCTAGACAATTCGTGTTGAAGTCTCGCACCTGCATCAATCCCGAAGCTTTAAAAAGTTCCTGTGGAGATCTGGTCCCAGAAATATTTGGAGAACGCAGTGACAGTATTCGACTGTATACTTTATTTCGTACCTGTTAGAAAACAGCATTAATAAAAAGAATATTCTGGAGATTGAAGCTGACAATTAAGTAACTTATCTGCTAATTAAAATGTGAAATAATCAGGACACAGTTACACTTTCAAACACTTCGACCTCTTGCTACCTACAATGTTTGGACATGCATGGATGTGACATGCTTCACACCAAAACCAAACCACACAACATTTTATAAGAGCTACTCAAATTGACCTACTAGTATGTAACTGACCCTAAGTTCTGATATTTGTCTTAGTCCCCCACACAAAGGATCACTGACATTGCCTAAGGAGGAAAAAACCCCTTCACTAATCCTAAACCATGGAATATAGAAACAGCAATAATTTAAAATATTGTGCTAAACCAGAAGGTTTCCTTTCTTTTGTAATTAGTTTGCTCAATATTAATAAAAGGTGGGCTTCATGACATTTAGATTACCACTAATGTAATTTTAGTTCAATAATTGTTCTGTATGATAACAAGAGAGAAAGGAAAAAGAACGATCTTGTTTCATCCATCTTTTCACAACTAATCAGTTTCTAGATGCCATACTGAGGTTTTCACAGACTGCAGTCTGGTTTTCCATAATGGTTATATCCAGCAAACCTTTTGCTACTAGTCTTACAGTATTATGAAAGACACCAGACTCAAATTAAATAAAATCAGTGAACTTAAACTTGATCCTTGTGTTAATTACATAAATCCAGGACATTCAGGAAACCCATACCTCCTTATTGAAGTTGAGGAAGTAGTTGGTTTGATCTGTAAGGAAGATCTCCAAAGCTGACCTCCTCAGGTTGTACCGACGCAAATGTATCTCTCGAATTTGAGAAAGGTGCCATTTGAAATCAAAACCTATCCCTAGGAAGAACACTTCTATTATTGACTTGGAATATATATAAAAACCTTTTCATATAGACCTAGGGCAGTACCACTTCCAATCATCCCAGAGTTATTCCTAGAAAAGGTAAATTTTATATCTGGCTTGATTAACCATTTTTCTAGGAAAATACTAACTTCAGTCTGTTGTGTTGAGAGAAAGGAAGCAAGAAATATCTGATGGAGTGTAGAATTTGTTTCTGCTTTCTGATTAAAAACATATTATAAATGTATTCTGTTGATAAATATATTTTGTTGACAAAAGGTATGAACCAAATGCCTTTGCTTTCTTAAACAGGCTCAAATAGAAGCTTTTATGTTAAAATTTCCCCAGAGGCTGACATTTTGATATATTGTTTTGGAAAATTTTACTATTATTGGTCAAACATTTCACTTCACTGTTTTCACACTCAACTGTGTCTAATATATATACATATATATATATGTTCAATATTCTATGTATATATTCTATTAAAGTTCACTAGATTAATACAGATGATTAATGCTTATGTACTGCTACTTTTTAATCAATGCATATTATTTGTCAGGGAGAACAGAGAGGTGTCCTTTATGGAGAAAATGAGAGGCAATGACTATTTCTTAGTCAGTAATTTTTAAAAATAAAATTAAAAATAAATTAAAAAATTTACAGAAGCAAATTTTTTTAAAGAAATACTAGGAATAGTGAATCATTTTAAGAGTTCAGCAAGTACTGTTCCAGATTCTTGATTCTGAAGGGATTAGCCAGCTCCTGACCATCAAGTGCAATATTAAAGTACAGAAAATCTTGTCTCTACAATTAGTTTGACACTCATTCTCTAAAGATCAGACTCAGCCTACTAAAAGCAGAATGCTGAACTGCCCTGAAAAGGAGATATTGATCATGCTCACCTTCCTCTTTTTCAATGCTACCATCAAAGAAATAGATGTGCTGTGTAGTGATCTCCAGCCTGCCAGGTATCACATCAATTACTGTAATGAGTTCACAGTCTTCAGACAATATTAGCTTTTCTTTCTGACTTTCCTCGTCCTTGTCATCCCTGCAAAAAAATCATGAAGTGTTACAGGGTTGTACAGAGTATACAGTTGTTTAGGTACTTGGTAAGAGTACAGTTCAGAAAAGAATCAAATTTGACTGGCATTAAAAGTACAACATAAATGATTAGATAAAGCTACTTTCATCAGCAGTCTTGGGTGTTTCAGACCAGACCACAAACATTTCATGGCATCACTCTTTAGGCTTAATATTTCAGCCTCAGGTACAATGGACTTAAATGTCTTTGAAGTATGAAAATGTCGGGCTGCATTTCCCTTTTTAGTTGCTAGGTGCCTAAATTCTCTGGCCCAGAGCACAGCTGAGTTCTAGTTCACGTGTCTAAAGCTATTTCCCGAGTTATTTTGCTACAGTCTATAGCAAGCATTTAATAAACTTTAAAGTACAAGAAGATGCATCAGTGTCACTGAAAGAGCCACATCTCTACTGGACTTCAACAGCACAAACACACAGAGATGCATGCACAACATCACATGTCCAGATACTGAAAAAAAGTATTTGCTATCCTCCCTCAAGCCCCCCTTTCCTCCCTACTCCTTTTTTCTTACAGTTACACAAGTGACATGAAGGAAGTACAGCAGGTCTTCTTCCTGGAGTGCTCAAATTCAAGGTACTCTCTAGCAGATTACTGCCAGCCGAGCAAACTTTCACACTATGCAACTGATGATTTAGTGAATGGCCACAGCAACCATGGACAAGAGCCAGTTCAAGTCTGGTCCATGTCCTTATAGGGCAGATTACCTCTTGAGAATTACAGCCAATGTACCCAGAAAAGCCTCAGCAATTCTGGAGCTTCAGCCTCAGACCAACCGTGAGCAGTAAATCACCGATGGATCCTCACAAACCTATGCTCTGCCTTCTTTTCCCTGAGGTTTTTCATGTCCCATTGTTGACAATGATAAATCCAACAAACTTTTCTGCTGATCAAAACTGCCCTGGACTGGATTGTTAAGGCCAGACAAAGAAAGAGGGAAGCTCTGTATACTAATCAATTCCCAAACTTCTTTCTTGATACTTATCCCTACCACAGAAACAAATTTCAACCATTCTATTCTGTTCTACTTACAAATTGGAACTGGCTGCTGTGTCTTCATCTGGTAGTTCAAGAACATCATCTTCCAAGTCACTCACTTTGACCTGCTTCACCACCTCCAGAAGCAGAGACTCACTAGAGGGCTGTGTCTGGTGCACACCTATCATAAACAGACATTACAGCTCAGAACATTTTTTGTTACAATACTTTTGGAAATTTAAACTACTAAGTGTGTCTTCTATGGTTGAATATTGGTTTTAACCAAGTAAGAAGCAACTAGACTTCTTAAATATTTTTGGGATTATGCAGAACACTAAAAATAGTCCTTGAACTACACTGAAATACATACTGACCTGTAACAATAGAAAGGGAAGACAAACACCTAAGAAAAATGTAATATGAATTCTGATGGGGACATTTCCAAGAAAATATATTACAATGTTCTTTCAGACACTGCTAAAGCACGCACATTTAATGGAAATAACACTGCATTTATTTTTTGCTTATGTGGGTTTTTTTGTTTCGTTTGAGCCTTGATATCCAATGCACCCAACTTCAGAGTTACACCACTTTGGCATATTTCTGAAACAGCTTCATATCCACACATTTTAACCATAAACACTAAAAGGTTTTGAACAAATGCTGCCTGCTTACTCTGGTCTGATTGCTTCTTTTTCTTGAAAAAAATCATCTTATGCAAGAAAGCTTTGTGACTGCTTATTTTAAAACAAAAGGAGAAACTAATTCTAATCAGTAGGAAGATGCTGTTTTAGGTCAAAACAGCACTATTATATTATAGGTATTACTAAAGATGAAATATAGAAAAATCAAGACTTAAGTATCTAGCATAAACTTCTTGTTAAATACGAAGAGGAAAGTGTGTATCTTTCTTTGGTAAAGACAAAGGAAATAGCATATACAATTTTACCTAAATTATCTCTCAGGTCACTAGCATCCTGATGAGAGTTGAAGTTGTAATTCTGCACTAGTTTTAGTCTCATACGTGAAAAGTTTTCCACGTTTGAAAGTTTCCAGTGAATAGGACGCTGTTTCCTAGGAAAACAAGAATACTCATAAAAACAGTTTAAAGAAAGCAAAGACTTAAATGAGTGAATTGATTACAAAAGAACATATTTAGAAGAATACTGGTCATCCACTTCAGCACTGTAAAACATATAAAATCAAAATGCAGTTTATTGCTTTTATTTTGTATTGCAGCTCCAATCATCAGTCTTTACTTTGCAAACAGCATTTATTTTCACAGATTCAACAAAGTTTGAAGAGGGGTCCAAGATCATGTAGTCCAACCATCAACCTGTCACCACCATAATCAACCCTAAACTATATCCCCAAGTGCCACATCCAGATGCCTCTTCAACACTTTCAGACTGAAGTGTGACATTGGCGAGTCACCATGGTGACTTCACCACTTCCCTGGGCAAAGTCTAACCACTCTTTCAGTGAAAAATTTTTTTCTAATATCTAATCTGACCCTTCCCTGACACAACTTGTGGCCATTTTCTCTTGTCCTGACACTTGAAACACAGTAGAAGAGGCCAATCCACATCTCAACTACAACCTCCTTAATGTTCTAGAGAGCATTAAGGTCCCCCCTGAGCCTCCTATTCTCCAGGCTAAACACTCTCAGCTCACTCAGCTGCTCCTCGTAAGACATGTTTTCTAGACCCTTCATCAACATCATTGCTTTTCTTTGGACCACATTGAAGCATCTCAATGTCCTTTTTGAAGTAAGGGGCCCAGAACTGGACACAGCACTGAAGGTGTCACCTCACCAGTGCTGAGTACAGGGGGACAATCACTTCCCTAGTCCTGCTGGCCACTCTATTGCTGATACAGGCCAGGATGCCACTGGCCTTGGCCACCTGGGCACGCTGCTGGCTCACGTTCAGTTGACTGTTGACCAGCACCCCCAAGTCCCTTTCTGCTGAGCAGCTCTCAAGCCACTCTTGCCCCAGGCCTGTGGTGCTGCCTGGGGTTGTTGTGACCCAAGGGCAGGACCTGGCACCTCGCCTTGTTGAACCTCATGCAGTTGTCCTCAGCTCATTGATCCAGCCTACCCAGAGCCCTTCGCAGAGTCTTCCTTTCCTCCAGCAGATCGACACTCCCACTTAACTTGGTGTCATCTGCGACCTCACCGAGAGAGCAGTCAATCCTTTTGTCCAAATCATTGATAAAGATGTTAAACAGGACCAGCCCTGTTTAACAGTATTTTCTACTGAAATACACCAAATTGTTTGCAGTTTCAGCTAATGACTCAAAAAACCCCCAAAACATCTTTATCCAGAACTTGCCCAAAATCTAAGACATGCAAAATGTACTCTTAAATTGAAATTACTTTCATGCATAAAAAGCTCAAAAGTTTTCATTTGCCACTTGGCAAGAAAATCTAGTATCCAGGTAACCAGTTCAGCATAACACTTCAGACTTTGCATTTTGATAATTAAATGCAGAAAACATTATAAAAGATCCATTCAGTATTCACTTCACATCTCAAGAGGGGTCATCACACTCAATTTGACCTGGTTCTAACTATGTGAAACAGTCATGTGAGCAAATTCCTTGTAAGCATCACATAGAGTTTAAGAACTTCACTCTTACCTTTCAGACCAAGGACCACGTTCAGAGAACAAGTAAAGCTGGGCTGCTCTCCACTGCCTCAGAGTAGCTGTGTGGTGACTACTAAGTTGCTTTAGCATACTGTTGTACCGCAGATTTTCCTGTCGAGCCTTTCTGCTGAATGGTTCCACAAAGTGCTCCTGAAAGACCATTAAAAATAAATCTAGCACTGAAGTAACTCTGACCCTTGAAAACACAGGTTTGTGTCTTCAAAGAAATCTCATAAAATAAGAAGAAACGAAAAAAGTTTAGCAGTAAAAAAATCTGAAATTTTAAATTAATGCTTAGGAGAGAAATTTTAAAAAGCTTAGTACTGGAAGAAATAGTGCTAGACTTTGATTTAAAGATGTGAAGAAAGCATTATCAATGCTGAATCCATATGAAAGTAATTTTCATTGTCAGAAAAGTGGTCAGTACCGGAAATCCTACTGTAATAGATAAGACTTTTCTTTAAATTCTAATATTCTAGGATGTGACTCACATTGTATTTTTCCTTTATCTAGTTGAATAAAACAGACCTATTACAAGCTCCTTTATTAAGAAAAAAAAGGGAAAACAAGAGAAATCTAACTTTACTAAAATATTTCCTGTAATTACCAGTTAATTCTAATGCTGAAACTGAGTCTGGACCTTGTATGAAAAGGTCAGATTAGAAGCAATTTTTCCACATGTTAAATAGGAACTGTTCACTGTTTTAAATGTTTTAATTGCATTGAAATAGGGTTAAGGGGAAAAAAAAAAAAATCAAACAACTGACAGCTCATAATGGAGAACAGGTTTCAGAAATTCAAAACACAAATCAAAGTAAAAGAAGATGCAGCAGATAGCAGAGCATAATTTTAGGTTGCTGTACTATGAGAAAGGCCTACTGCACTGGAATAACCTTAACAGATAAGACTCTTAAATAGAGAGTATAATTAAAAAGCATATCCTAGAAGTGTATATAGTCACATTTCTCACAAAATCTTAAAACAATTAACCTGTTCACAGTTACTTGATTTGGATCATCCTGGAATTCATTTTATCCATCTTTTAGAAGTCAACTCTTGAGACAGTGCTTCTAAAGAGAACTAACTTCTAAGAGAACATTGCACTCACTCAAAACCTTACCTGAAACTTAAGTTTACTTTCTCCTCTTTCCCGGTCTCGCTTGTGCATGTTCACCATAAATGCTTCGTAACAAACTTTCCAATAAAGTGCCATCTGCTCATTATCATGTCTGAATGAGTTCTCTTCATACTGCTTCATATTTGGAATAATCTGGTTCCACCAAAGTAAAACAAAAAGCGATTTCTGAATTGGTTCCTCTGCTTTCGTGGCTAAAAAGAGGGAGGAAATTATAAAAAAAAGCATCTACTACTTACATATTTGTCAATATAAACTTGCCATTCATCAGAGCTGCAGTATTCTTGAAAGTCCTCAAAGAAAGAAGGGCTGCCATTGGTAGGAGGCAATGAAGGGAGATGCAGGTTCATGAAAAGAAGCTCATAAATCTTGGATACCAATGTCCGAACAAGTGGAATCAAAAATGAGTAAGTTTCTGTCTTCTCTTCAATTGATCTACTCAAAATGCCTTCCAGCTTCCCCAAGAGGTAGCATGCTTCAGGCTGGCTCTCAATTACTTTGGTCTGCAGGAGGGTGTTTAGTTTGGCTGCTGCCATAGCACAGACCTACAAAAACAAACAGCAAAAAGTGAATGCAATCCTCGAAATAGCAATTTTCAATACCTATCTTTTTACTGCCACTGGTGCCTACATAGTTCCAACTTCAAACAGCTTGCCCTCTACTTCTCTGTCATGCTTCAGAGGTGCACACTGACAGGACTGTAAACTTTCAAATGGTAAGAAACAGTAAAATATCTTCCCTATAGAAGGATAAAGGACTGCTGCCAGTCTCCCCACCGGTATGAGCAGCTCTCCCCACAACAGTTACATCAAACACACCCTTAAAACTCAGTACTACTTGCAGGAATTTGGAACAAACCTGTAAGTTATCCTGTGCAATAAATCCAAGGAGCAATTGGACTTGGACCTGTGAAAGCCTAATTGCTTCTAGGCCAGCAGAGTACCAGACTGACAGGCTATCCATGAGAGTTACTAGTTCTTCCAAAAGCTATTGCAAAAACAGAAGATTTGTATAAAATTAAAATAAATAAAACACATTGTAATAAAATAAACAATAACTCCAGTTGGAGACACAGTAATTTCAAAGACCTGAAGCCTGTGTTCCCACTTCCAACTTAACCAAACCCAGAAAATTATCATAGAACACTGCAGTTAAACCATTAATTTCAAGAAATTGCTGACTACAAAATTCCATCTAGTTCAGTATGTTAACTCTAGTATCTCCCCTGAATAAAGTCCAAATCAGCATACAGTATGTATGCTTACTGTTTTTCCTATAATTTAATTCCAGTAAATGACATTTCCTTAGAAAAGTTATAGACTCCACTCTAGGAGGCACTCCTTTCTGTCAGAATTTGGACACCAGGAGTGATACAAACCTTGTGAAAGGAAGTTATTCACAAGACAAATGGCAGATTTCACTATCCAGGCATGTTTGCTTAAAACTAATGCATGTTGATACATTCTCTAATAAATTACTCAAATGTAAAATCATTCTGACTGAAAGCTATCCTGCTTAGGATATTAAGGTGCTTTAAATTCTCCATCCAGAGACAGTGGAAAATAATTTATGAAAGTACTGTAACTTTCAATTCAGAGTTGGCCAGAAGCACAGTTCTCATTACTCCAAAGTTCAGATCTCATTTCTAATGAGGTTTCACAACAGAAGGCAAAGCTCATACCAAGAAGAGACTTTTTTAAAATGAGCAATTTGAAGCTTTAAGATTAAGCTATGCGTACTCATAAGCAGGCATTTTGGAGAACAGCTTAGGAATTACTGTGTTGATGACTAACATTATACCTTTATTTTTTCCCCACAAAAAAGTAGTGTTAAAAAGCATTTTTGTGAGGATTTATCATGATATAATGACACTTTTCATATAGCACCTCTCCCCTTTTGCATAGAAAAATGGAAAAGCAATGACAACTCAGACTGGAGAGGAAGCAAGACCAGTGCCAGAAACTACATATATGGTGAGACAAATCATGGGTGTTGAAACTTCAATATAGGTCAAACCCCAGAAGTGACATTTCTCAGCCTGTAGCTGAGAGCAGAGTTTTGGCTGGTCTTTTATTCAGGATACAAGATGACCATGGTGCAAAATGTGCTTAGGCTACAACTGATATTATTTCATTAGCTTCTACATTTTCCAAGTATTTCTCCAGTCTGCAAGACCTGAATTTTCAGTAATGAGTACCACTTACAGGCCTATTTAATTTGAAAAGTTAAGCATATTCCCTGAGGTAAGCATTCACACTCTTTTACTCATTATGGGGTACTCTACTCCATTTCATGATAAATCTTTACTCTGTAATATCTATGATTTAAAAACATATGACTAGAAGGGATGACAGTATCCAAGATGGCAATTTTTTCCTTGCTATTTCAGCCTATATATGGTACACCCATTATTCAGTTACTGTACCTTTTCTGTCCATAAACTTGAATTAATTAGTCCTTCTGCCTGCAGGAAATCTTGTACAATTAGCAAGAGCTTGAAGGCATTTTCAGCATGTGTAGGGAGAGCTTTTGAATCTCTGTTATCAGTGACTGACCATTCTAACATCTTCTCCAGCAAGCTGCAAAGAAAACAAAATCCAAAAGTATTACATGTTCTAAGTGTAAGTGGCTTTTAAAAAATCCAATTAAGTATTTAATTGAATCTCTTAGTCTGCAGTGACATAACTGCCACCTTCTTGATAAGCCAATGAGGTAAAAGAGATTGAGAGGCTCATGAAAAGAGCGATACAGTTTTAAAATCTTATGGTCACACGACACTACTAAACAGGTAGTGGAATATACTTCTGACAGTATGTGAAGAGAGAACAAAGAAAAGCACATCTTGTTAGGAAACACCCACCCCTTCCCAGCTTCACTCATATCCCTTCGTCTGTTTATCCTTAAAAGGGATGGACAGTACACTCACCTGAGTTTTATTTCATCAGAAGGTCGCAGCAACTCATTAGACATCCCCAGTTTGGTCAGTGCAGAGAACACCTGTCCTCTCTCGATCCAAGCATCATCATCAGATTTTTCAACACCTTTCCACATTATACACAGTAAGATGTCTGTAAGTAACTGTATCAGTTCATTATCACTCCCCTGCAAAAGAAGAGAAATATTTAAAGCCCTTGTAGCGTAGAAAACCTTCAAAACGTTTCTTGCTCATCACAGTCCCTGTGCTTGCACGTTTAAACATTTTTTAAAACTCTGTAGTCTAAAGTCTAATTGTTAAATTTGTGAAAACACAATTATAAAAGACTGTGGCTTGCTTGTATGTTGTAATACATACTGCCTTTAGCAACCCTTGATTTTTTCACAGCAAGTCTGCCCCATGCCTCCTCTGGAAGATAAGGGATGTTTAAATATAAAAGGCAGGGAGGCAGTTGGCAGTTTTTTGTTTGTAGTTTCTTGTGTTTGGGGCAGAGGGTGTTGGTTTTATTTTTTGTTTAACATCAAAGCTATCCCAACCAGACAATCAAAAAAGACACATCACAAAAGGAAGTATCCCTACTCACTATAAAAAAACCATATTGTTCGCTTTTCTGTTGGAAGATGAGAGTCCAAAAAAAAAAAAAGGATAATAATTATTCATTAGAGAGATTAAAAGAATAAAGAGAAATTGCCAACAGTTGGAGAAATTAGCCACATAGGGAGGAATTACTTACTCCTTGGTTTTCAAATAAAGAAAGATCAGCTGTGAAGCCCACATCATTCATAACACCCAACTCTTTGTCAGGCTGCCCAGAGAACGGTTTTGTGCTTTCTGTAGGTGATGGTGTGCTGGGCTGGCTATCTGTCATCTGGTTCCCAACATCAGCCAGTTCATAAGAGTCAACACTGGAGAGATCTAAACTCAAATGTGAAGGATTGCTGTGCCACAATTCTTCTCGGTCCTCTGAACTAAAAGACATCTCTGCTGTGGATGCATCTTCCAGTGGCATAACAGAGAAATGAGCAGGGACATCCAGGGATTTGTTGTCTTCTAAACTCCACTGATCAAACAGACCATTAACAAAACTGCTGGCTTTTTCTCCCTCTGTCTTATAAGGCTGATGTTTCTGAAGCTCTTCAGCAGGAGGCTTTTTTTCCTCTTCCCTGAAGAAATCAGTCCTGTTCTCTTTAAAGCCAGTTCGGACCTCTGAGTTTTCTCTCTGGAATAGTCTAACCAAAGTGTCCTGCCAGCCCAGCTGCTGAGAAATCTGTTGTGCTGCATCCACTTGGGTGTGCAAAAGGTGCAAAATCTAAGGATAGAAGATATCACATATCTACACATTAATTTTAGCTTGTAACTGCATTCATCTAGCTTTTCAATTACATATTTTATAATCTTACAACTTTTTGGCTTTTTTAAAAATCTTGTAACAATTGGTTAATAATAATCAAACAAGTCACAAAATTTTTCTCTCATTTTTTGGAAAAAAAAGAAAAAAATTCTCAGGAATAAGGGAGAAAAGAAGCTATCAAAGCATATTGCTAAGTCCTCATATTTGTCCTGCAACAATTCTTGCAAAAGGCAGTTATCACAATAAATAATCCTATTCAGCCACTAGTCTACAAAAAGATAAAACTCTGAAATAGTATATATGCTTGATTATTAAATAGACACAATTAAGAAAACCACAGTATTAATATCTTACTGATAGTGTACATTAGAGTTTCACTTTTTTCACTTTGCAAAACCGTAATAGATAATACAGTGCCTCACAGCTACATTCAATACTACTAATTCCAGTGATACAAGCCAGAGAGAGCTCAATTTAGGAAAAAGTCACTGCTTCTTCTCCATCTCTTCCCTGCATCTACAACTACTTTTTTGATCCGTAGTATGCTCCATCAAAATAACATATTAAGAATATAAAGAAAACTTTGATCATGGTGTTAAGCATTCTTTGAGAAAACTCAGTAATTCAAGGAGCCTACTACCTCAAACCTGTAGCAAATACAAGCTATTGGCAAATCATGATAGAGGCATCGCTTTTTGTTTTGGTCTTTAAAAGGACTTGAATGTAAAAAATTCAACAGAAAGTGACAGATGGGCTTAGTTTTTAACATGAATCATTGCTAAAGAAAACAGTAGCAACAAATACCACCACTGTGTTTTAAAGAAATAATTTAGCTATCACACTGTGCAGTTTATGGGCTTAAAGGAAAATATTCCAGTCCTAAAGAAGACAACTAACCTTTCTACAGATAACCACTCTCACGTTTATATCTGATCTGTGAGCCAGATGCACTACAGCTATAAGATCTTTATAATTCACAGTAGGATCTGTAGGAGAGAAAGAAAAAAATAACATAAGCAATATCACACAAGAGAATGTAACAGTTAAATATTAAAAACTGCCTTTCAAGTCATGTCTAGATCCATGGACAGTAAAAGGAACAAACTTCAAGAAAACAAGAAAACATTAGCTGGGACTAATGGGAACTTTGAGTAGAACAGCTCTGGTTTTCCTGAACAAAAAACAGGTATGTTTGCCTCTAAGCAGCAAGAGCATACTGACGTTAGACATAACACTTGCCAATTACCTGCGAAAAGAACTTGGTTAAGAAGGTTTTTAATAAGGGAAACAGGAACTGGTGATTCATTCAGAAGCAGCCCCAGTCCAGAGTATCCCACTTCTCTGAGTCTCATACGGTGCTTACTACGTTCATAAACTTTGGTACATTTCAGCATCTCCTCCACAATCTGCGAGAAAAAATAGACACAAATGTAAATTAAACACAAAGAAACATCCAGACCTCCTAAAGTTTTGTGTGATACAATAGGCTGGTCCAAAGCTTTTCAAGTTTATTTTGTAGGCTAACTCAAACAACATGGACTCTTTTCATTTTTTAATAGATCTCAATACTTTACTTCAAGAGAACACTAATTCTTTTGTGACAATACCATCTAGCTAACATAAGAGATAAGAAAAAACTTAACTTGGATGATTAGTACCTTTGTAATTACATCCATTTCTGCAGTCAGACCATTGAAAAATACAAATTTATGTTCAATTGATTAATTTAAGAACGTAACATTCAAATCATTACCTTGAACACAAGCTCTCTAAGCCTGTCAGAGTATCTTTGATGCAATAACAGAGCATAAAGAATATCAGCATTCCCTGGTTCAAAAAGCAATAAAAAAAGCTGGTCTGGAGTTGGACTGGAATGAAGTAGGCTGAAGAGGACATCCAAAATTCCACAGAGCTACAAAATGAAGACAACTAAATAAATCCACAGTTCATTCAGACTTCATGCTCTGTCTTAGGAAAATTTTCTTGGCTTTTAAGTTTTACCTTTTGCTGGTTAATAAAATAGAAATTTTGTTGCTCAATATTACTGCATTTGTACAATTTTTAAAACATTTTATCTCTATGTAGAACACCTTATCAAACAGTAAGTAGAGCTATAAAGCAAGTTCAAGAGCTGTTGATGTCTACAAAATAGAAACTACATTACAACTGATCAGGTAAAGTTCAGTTCATTTGGTTTTGTAAACTAGATAACTTATCTAATGGCATATTGTACCTCAGCTATATCTAAACAGAACCATACGTCAATTAATACTTTGCTTGTGGTCTTTTTCTTCTTTGTTCCCCATTCTTTTAAACACACAAGACAAGATTTCTAAATACCAAGAAGTAAAACCAAAACGTGTACAGTTTAAACTCTTAATTTATGCCATGTTGGATACCTGCTCCTCATCACTGGTGGCAGCTATGTACCCTACAATGCTCTGTATTTCTTCATGTGTTCCACCTTTGCTCAGGAAATATTTGATCAGTCCGTACAGGGATGTCCGTATTGTTCTCAGGTCATCGGGAGCCAAATCACTGTCTTTACAACCACTCCTGTGCACCAACAGACCAGAAAGGCAATCTCAGGAAGTTCTTCATGACTCATTAACAGCAATTTTAATGAGCTAGTTTTGTAATTTTTCATCTAGCCTGGCATCATGGACGAGTTTTCAAATTTTACTGAAGTCAAGCAACTGAATAAGCAGATCAGACTTAGCAAGTCCATAAAAGCCCTGAAATGTAGACTTGTACTGATTTGTACATAGGTCAGGATTTCAGGTTCCCCCCTTCTCCCCCTCTAAAGAAAAAAGCAGAGTCTCTAGCCAATCTTCCTCAAGGACATAACTATATGCATAAGCAGAAAGAGATCATCAATACTGAAAGCTAAAATTTAAAATTCCTAAAGTCCTACTTCAAATTCTACGAGTATATAAAAGAACTTAAAATGAGAAACACCCTCCCTTTTTATAACGGCAACAATCTATGAATTAATTTGCATTGTTGAAACCAAGTTCTACAGTTTAGTAATTTTAATGACTCTTACAAGTGCTTTTAGTGTCACTGACATAAATTTTATTAATCTTAACACAAAAATTCAAGTCAAGGAAAAGTAGGAAGTCAAACGGGGAAAAAATTTAATGCAATTTTGTAAATTAAATCAACTACTAAAAGCCAACTTTCAGTTTTATTTATTAATTCTTACTAGGATGATAGGGAAAAAAATAACAGCCACATACAATAAATGAGGAGGAGTCAGAAGTAGTAAACCACATACCCATAATAAATCCTGAGTGTGTCTAGAAGAAACTGCACACCATACTTCTTTCTGAAGAGTCTTCTACTGTCTTTGATGATTGTAGAAAGATATTGTATATGTCCTACAATATAAAGTTTTCTTTTAGAACCTAGATAAAGATTTGTGTCAAGTGAAGAATACTGTGCCTTCGCACAGTTGCCCAAGTCCAAGAGCTCACCAATTCTGAAGGGGAAGTCACCACTGTTCCAAATACTGAAGTCAAAAAGTAAGTGTTGATACATCTGTTGCAAAAGCTGCATGTTCTTTTCTACTGAGACTTGTTCTATCAACAACTGTACAGCCATCAGTACATTCACATCCATTAAGATGCTTGGCACCTTGCAAAATGACAACAAGCATTAGCACTCAAAATATTGAATGTCCTAATAAGATTTTTGTTTAAAAAAAATAAAGTTTATCTTCTACAGCAACATCTGCTTCCATTAAAACAATACAAGAAACAAAATTAGTCTAGTTTGAATAACCATAAAATGCAGTATCTATATCAAAAAAAGCAGAAGATGCTAAAAAGACAAAACACTGGATTTCACTTTGCAGATCAAGACCAACTTCTCACACTTTTTTTGTTTCAGAAACACAAGAAAGAAGAGCATTTGCTAAGGAACCTCTGAAGACCCTTGCATCCTGGCTATGTTTCAAAGTAACCAGGACCTCATCCATGACATTCATTACTAAAGGATGTTTCAATTTCTCACCTTCTGTAACAAGGCACCTAGGGTGGCAACTCCATGGGAGTGAATGAGATTTTCTTGATTAACATGATGTCTCTGAATAAAGTGTTTTATCATCAAGATGAAAGTTGCAACTATGTTCTTCTCCAGACGTGCTTCTGCAAAACAGAACAATGGTAGCAGAAGTCTTATGGTTTATCATTGGATCACTGTATAAAAGTAGAGGGGAAACAGTAAAATCAAGTGTTTATATTCCTCACTATTTCCTCAACTTCTCAACTCCTTTTCTGTTTGTTCCTTAGCCGTGGACTGTCTTTAGATTTTTCCCACGCAGAATCACAGTCATTCCATGCCTCTCCAGAACAAACTGATCCCAGTACTCATTTCAGCTGCTTCACCCGTGGCTACAGGTTACAAGCTTCTTTGTTTCAATCTTTTACACATGGCTGAAGTTATTTTCCCCTCTGTAGTTGCAAACTGACACTTTCTAGCCATGGTATGCAAAAAAATTAGAGAGAAAAAGATCTATTTTTTTTTTACTTCACCATATCATATTTGAAACAGCAACAACAACCAGAAAAAGCTGTTTTCCCTTGCAAGGTCTGATATCGCCCTGGTTTCTGTTAAGGTCAAAGTTAAGCTTCAATATTAGCAAAGTTAGAAAAAATCTATTCTTAAGCCTTCCTTTCAATTTCTTTTAATTTTAATACTAAAATTTGACTGTGTCAAATGGAAGAGATAGGAGCCTGAACATTTTACTAAGAAAATAAATTTGGCTAAAGGCTAAATAGTACTGTTCTCATGTTGCTGTGTGACCCAGCACTTAAGTTGTAGGAAAGCTTCTCCTATCGATATTAGTAGGTTTTACATCACACATAATTTCTCAAAATAATCAGAACAGAAATTAAAAAACTGCATACTTTTACAGCAATGTAATAGTAAATCATGAAAAGAAAAAGAATGCTATTAAATATAGCTATACTTGAAATATATTATATTATTTTTACATAGTGCTGAATTCCTGGTATTCAGTCTCCATGTCAGATATCTAGGAACAGAAAGAGCCTTTTTAGCTTCATATAGATACTCTGGAAAATCCAGCACTTAATAAACAGCCTTCTGTCATTCACAAAAAGACTTTTAAATCAAGCTTAAAAATTATTTCAGTTCAACTGCACTTTCCTACCTGATGCCTTTGTGGATGAGAACACCACCCAGTCTCCCTCTACTGGAGTTACTAGTTCTGGAGGTAAAGTTTCCCCCTCAGATTTCTCAGGCATCTGTCCACCAAGAAAGCCAATCTGCTCCAGCAATGGAAACAGCACATTTATTCCACCAATACAGTTGATCATATCCTAAATCAAGAGAAAAGGGAGAAAAAACATCACCATAAATGAAATCTCCTAAACTACATAGCAAAAATTTACTCCAAATACAGGAAACCTTACACTGTCACAAATCAATCCGAATGTCTCACAGGTTAACAACAGAGTTGCCCAGGTTTTAGCCATCACAATTACACATGAGCCTTCCTGTCAGTTCTTGTTTTGAAAGTGTATTTTTACATTTCCTTCCTCCTCTCCCCATATAAACAGGGGAAACTGAAGGATACAAATCTCAGAAAGAATCTTCTGTTAAATATATTTGAAAAATAGAAAAAATATATTTTCTGATTTCTAAGTTACTTGCAGTAAGCAGTAAGAAAAGCCTGTAAGATTATACACATCTGCTTTAATCATATTCCTGCAAGATTTCAACTTCAAGTAGTTAAAAAATAATAAAATTTAATTTTGTTTTTTTAAAATAACTTTACACATAAGTCAATTCTAAGCCTCTCCTTAAAATTCAAGTCTCCTAAGACCCCTTTTTCCCCCTCCTCCTCACAAGCAGGGATAGCACAAGACTGTGCCTGGAGGTGTTTAAGTAAAGAGTGGACGTGGCACTTTGACGTGGTGGTGTTTGGTCATAGGTTGGAGTTGATCTCAGATGTTTTTTCCAACCTAACTAATTCTGTGATTCGAACAATGCCTCTTGTGGTAAGGTGTAACATATTCAAATCATAAGATTTCTAGAAGTGATTCACCACCACTTCAATTCAAAATGTAGGTGTCAGCAAGCTAGTCAGAGATGCCTAATCATTTAGTCCCAGTTTAGTCCAATGAAAACTACTGCGGAGTAAAATTTTAACAGTCAAAAAGCCCCAACATCCTCTATGCCAGTCTAGTAACATGGGAGGGATATCACTCTCCCTTCCCAGACAGAAATGTTGGGGACAAGTGGAAAAATTCACCCCTTTCCTCCTCACTGTTGTCTGCTTTTTCAGTTGTAACTCTACTCCATGTGTCTTTATTATGCCCTTTCTCCAGTCCATATTTATTAAGGTGAGGTTAAACAAATTGAATAGTGAAATTAAAATGATGTTTTTAAATCTGCAAAATTTATCTCATGGGTGAAGATTTCTGTGTTTGTTGTGCAAAACAAAAGGCACCACAGACCTGTGAATTTTGGAAAAAGAAATCAAAGTTGGTAAACAGAAACCTGCCTGAATCACAGGACAGCAGTAGCTGTAGCTCCTTCTAGGCTGTACCTATCTCCTCATGAGCTCCTGATCAGCTCTTGTGGTTTTTCCTCTCTAGTCCTCCTCAAGATGGTGCAAAACCCCATCATGTTTGTTAATGAATGATTCTGCTAAGACTTGTTCTTACAGTATGCTTTTCCATAAAGCTAGAGATATAAACACTTCTCATCCCTCCTTTCTCCCACTACTGGGTAAAGAGGACAAATGGCAGTATTTTCAAACTACTCATATCATAGCAAAATTAACTATCAAGTGTCTGAATTTTCTTAACATTAGTGTCCATAAGTGATTGTGGAGACATGCACAGTGCATATGCATAGCGTTGTTCTAAGAATATTTCCTTATTACTTAGTTTTCTAGTACAATTGATTGTTCAATGTCAAAAAAAACCAGTTCATATTTATTTGTTTGTAAATTATTCCTCAAGATAAAAAAATGCAGTATTCTACTGACAAGTCACAAGTGTTAACTTAACCCTACTAATCTTAATCTCATTCAGAGTTTAAGATTACAAGAAAAAAAAAAATCACAAAATTTCCTAGAGATGACAAAATGCTTGTAATACACTACATGCATTCAACATGATTATGAAGACTACTCAGTTATCACAAAACACCTTCATACACTATGACAGTAAAAACAGTGGCCCTTGTATGTTCTCAATAAATGCAACGTAAATGCAACACTACTCCAGCTACAGCATTATCTCATTAATTCTCATTATAAAAACATGCTGTATCTGCTAAATATAATTTGCATTATGCTAATAATTTCCAGCATTCCAAAAGTCAGGTGAATGCACACAACCACTGGTTTGTTTACATCAGGTTCTGCTTCTTCAGAATGCCTTTACCTTGATGTCCCAGTTCACAACTTTGTTTCCAGTTAGTCTTCCATGTAAAAGGTTTGCAGACAGATCAAGACAAATTGGGCTTCTGCAGGCCTGTTAAACAAACAAAGCAGCTATGGTATCTTTTAGGAAACAAGTTACAGATTCTTGAACACATAACATTTCAGTGTGATGGTTAATGTGTTTCAGGAAGTTAGTGCCAATGTGCTGATATTAAAGTATTTAAACCATGTGAAATCCTTAGAACATCATATATGTCATCTGAGACTTGACATTCACTGCTGTACAAGATAATTCTGTCCTTTTGCCAAAGATGGACAAAACCTACTATGTCTGCAGAAGATTACAGTTTAAGAAAGCTCTCACAGCTCCTTATCTTGCCATAATAACCACAATGTAAAGATGACACACTCATCTGTTCTATGAAACGGCAATAGCAAAACAAAGACCATCTAGAGAACATATTCCAAAAGTAATCCACACTGTGAAATCAAAGAGAAGTTATGCACTGTTTCATACCTTTGGTGTATAATGAAGCAGCACCTTACTGGGGAGATCTGCTACATCAGTCTCTTGAGACTTCCACGGAGTTAAACAGTTTGGACCTATAATAAATTATATATACACAATTATATATTTATAATACATATATTCAAGAGTCCACTGGATACTAATGTTGCTCTTTACAAATTTTATACTGCTACAATTTGTTGCAACAACAAATAAGACAGTCTGAACCACATCTGAGACATGCTTTGAAGGAGTCTCTATGACTTAAATAATTTATTTCATAAGGTCTGCTTAAAAAGAATTACATTCTTCATGAAAAGCTAAACTACACAATGAAAAACAGGAGGGTTTATACATTCAAACAGCTCTAATGTTTATTTTTACAATTACCTATCTCATATTTGTCACTAAACACTGTCATCAAGCCCAGATGCCAAAAATGAGTAACCCTCAAGATCGTTTTGTTTAGCAATACAAAATATTTCCTTGATATGATACAATGTTTTAATGCTAATCTCTAACAACCTCAAGTCATTATGAACTTAATACCTTAACACTTTGAACTGTATGACATAACTTTCAGAGTATTTTTTTTTAAATGACCACTTAATAATTGATTCTTATGGAAACATCCTCAAGTATAAATCACTTTAAAGTAGCCTATCATAGCAAGGGCAGTATTTTAAAGGCGTCTCAACTGTAAATTTACATGTAGGCAAACAGCAGCAAAAATTAAGAACTTACAAGTGAAAATACTACCTAACATCCTGATTTTGGCAGGTCTGTACATATGATAAATAGATGAGCTTATGCAAACATAACATTTTTAAATCAAACTTTATACAATATTTATCATTAAATTTTAAATTTATTTTTTATAAAGTTTCTAGACTGTAAGTTCTTCGTTATGTGTCTGTATAGAGCAAAGCTCAATGGGGTCTTGTTCGTAACTCATTCCTTTTATTCCACTAAGCCACTACAATCACCACTTACCTGCTAAATACAATGCTTTCACCTGAGAAGGTTGCAGTGCTTCATGAAAGACGATAACAGATCCAAGTTGGCCCTCCAAAGATGTTGGACACCCCCATTCACTGTCCTGAGTCCCTGCTGAGATCATCTTGGTGATGAGCTCTGGTTTTCCAAGCACCCCACCCCAACCTCCTGTAGAGAGAATGCCCCCAAGTGATGTCCGATGGGGCATAACTGGGGAGGAAAAAGGCGGATCTGGTATCTGAGATGGAGGAGGAGTTGTTGTTCTTTGACCAGCTGAACCAATGCAGCAAGAAGTAAAAGACTGGAGAGTCACACATGGAAGAAAGAAAATGAAACACATAGTGTAAATCTACACTCTAAATCTGAAGACTATATCTAGCAATTCTGAACTAAATAAATTAAACCAAGAGCAACAAGTTCTGGCAAGCCCTGAAAAACGTTAGGCAAAAAAAAGAAAAAGAGCATCCACTTTTCACAACAGCAGAAAATGCCCTTTCTCCAAGTAAGAGTAATTTGATTACTCCAACTGTTGTGTGACCTCTGGCAGGAGCACAGAGAGGAAGGATGGTGCTCCAGATATCCTCGTAAACACTCCTTTTCTGGATTATATTCCAAAATACTAGCCCAGTGTACCTGCTACTGTACATTTCTCCTATCAGTTATTCCACTAAAACAGATGCTCTCATGGTAAGCTTAATTGCCTCACTTTTAGTTACCTTGATGTTTACAGCGCTTATTCTACAGATAGACCAAAATCCAGAGTTTTATCTTCCAAGGAAAACTACATTTACTCTCATTTTTAAGCTCAGCCCAACAAGGGTATGACTCAGAAGGGAACTTACTTCATTCATAGCAGGGAATCGAAGTGGGGCAGAGACCTTCTGCTGTCCATTGACGTAGATATACACAAGGCTCTGACCAAAGGGTCTCTTTCCAGGTACATGAACAATAGTTATGTTGTGCTGGTTAAGCAATATAAAATAATTAAGTCATTATTAAAAACAGGGAAATGACTATATGGAACTATTTAACTTCATCTCTACTAGTCTGGGGCGGAAACCACTTAAGAAAATAAATCCAAAGCATGAACTAGAAGATAAGACCCACCTATTGGCTTCTTCCATTTAAAAGTAGTAAACATGTCTACATGTAAGAGAAGAGTGAGTTTTTTGAAGGGAAAAGAGATATAGCTCTTCCACAATAATGTACATCAGACTTAAAGTATGGGAATAGAAAAGGGTACATGAGAAACACAGTAGGACAGTTTATGTATTCACATAGCACCACTGCCACCTATGCTTATTATAATTTAATATAAAAACACCTCTAATGCTGTAACCAGCTTAATAATAAAAAGTGCCTAGTAACACAAGCATAAGTTAGTTCCTTCACGATTCATCTACATGAAAATTACTTGCATTATTTGAAATTAAATCTGTTCTTATGCAATGAATTATTGAGATATATATTTGTAAAATAACCAAAAAATAGAACTTGGACTTCTGAGTTAACAGTACTATCCTAAACACAGTGTTTGTCAGTATCAAATCTTACCCAGAGAGAGTCAAAAAAACAATGGTCAGGCAGCATCACTGTTGCATATTCCCTCTTTGTGCAAACTGCAACCACCAATACCCCAGAGCATGTAATAAAGGCTTCAAACCCCATACCACTTCCTGTAAAAAAGCTATAGAAAGAGAACAAAACAGACAATCAAGGACTTGCTTCATCAAAACTACCACCTAACACTACTTTCATTAAGGAGAGAATCAATTTAAGTAATTTGTTGTTGGTCCAATATTTACTATGTGACTGGCTGTTACTCTTGTTATGAAAAAAAAGAAAACAAACAGAAGACATTCTGTTTACTGCTGAATGTTAGTAGCCAGAAAGTTAAATTATATCAGAACCATTCACGTCAACAGCCACTATTTAAGCACTATGAAGTTATCCTTTTCACTGTGTTCTTATACAAAAAATAGAGTTCATTGGGGTGGGTTTTTTGGGGGGTTGGTTTTTGTTTTTTAATGTTGTTTTGTTTAAGTAGTGAACCTTAACACAATTTGAAGTTATGGATATTGAACTGTAGACAATAAAACATTATAACAGAGAAACTACATGTTTATTTCTTTAACATAACCTGGCTCTGGTGACAGATAAAACCGCTCCCTTTCGCAGACTAAGCATTATGTACTGCACTCTATGAAGATAAGCAGAAGCGCCACATGTCACAAGGCACCATATGCCATGGGGAACAGATGACCTAGATTTGTGCTGCTGAAGTAATTATAGTAACTATTACCTATAGAGTTGCTTCCTCTTGCCACTTTTGCTGGTCGTGCTGGGGTCCACCCGGTCCTGGTCAAGGCAGAGCCACGCGTTGAAAGAAAACGCAGAGCCCGGCCACCGATGGATTGCTGGCACAGCGATCCCGGCCATGCTGTGGTGCAAGTTGAAGTACTGCAAGGCACTGGCCATGCCCTGCTTCCGGGCCATGGCCAGGATGGCTCGCATCACTGGAACCACATAAGGGTGAGCTCCTTTGGGCTCCTCAGTCCTCAGGAGCCGGATCAGTTGAAGCAGTTCTTCTGAGCCCATTGACTGGCTCCCCAAAGAGCCCAGAAGGGCAATCAGGTTCTCTGCACAAGTACAGTGGAGGGCGGAGTGGGAGTTGAGTGTCTCAATGATCCGGATGACCATGTTTGCATTGACACATGTGGCACGACTCTGTCTGTTAATACAGCAGATTCGCCTCAACCAATTTGAGATGAAAATCTGCAGCTCATGTGATTCGAGTTCTGGAAGCCACTGGATAAGCAGCAATAAGGGTTGGACATTACTAATGCCTAGTATCCCAACAGCCATGTGGTCACCTTCAACAGCCTGAAAAACAGCAGAGAACTCAGATGTGAAATAACAATAAAATAGGGCTAGAAGTAATTTTGAAGGACGTAAACGTTTTTGCATTCAAAGCAAGGACATCTCACCATATTCATGAGTTCTTCCAGCAATTCCCGCGAGGGTTGACCCAGTGATTTTAGTACCTCATATATGTGTGCATAGCCAATCCTCTCCTTGAAGACTTCCTGAGGATAAAAATCCCAGTCTCACTAACAAATAAAATGGACAAAAATTGCTCGCCTACTGCAGTAGGTTCTAATTTAACAAAATATTAGACACATAATAACTAGAATGCTATAAAAATGTTGTACAGGTTAGAAATCTCTTTTTGATAACACATCCATTGTACTGTCTCTAGAATGCTATAGATGAGAAGGATCTCACTGCAGCACACAGATAAACAAATAAAAGTTCAAAGTAATATTTTAGTAATTACCTATACAAAAATATAATTGCTTCAGTATAATCCAAATGTTAAAACTATCACAAAGAACTAATAGCTTTGTTTTTTAGTGCAAACTATAGCATGAAATGTTTACGTTAAGAATTAGAAGTATTCAAATATTAATCTTTCAGTGAAAGATTCTCCTAGACCAGCTGATTAAAAACTACCCATCCTAAACACTTAAAAAAATTAGAAAAGTGTTCCAAGGAAGTTTTTCTGAAAACTAATTGATTTCGACATCAAGAGAAAAATATTAAATCAGCCAGTGAAGTTCAAGATGTAGCATCCATTTATGGTTTAATTAATAAACAGTCAACACATCATATGGAATGGATACTCTTCTCCTGGTTGTATTCTGCACTGAAATTAATTTTATTTTTTTAAAAAGAATAAATCTATCAGCAGAAGTGAGGTGATTGCTTAGATAACTATAGAAAGAAAAAAGAAAAATGTATGTTGCAGCAGAAGTACAACTGAAAACTCTGTTGACCCTCTGTGAATCCCAGCAGTTCTCATCTCCAACATATAACTCTTTTCAGGCTTTCCAGAGTCAGTGGAGAAATAAGCACCCTGAATAAGGTTCTGGAGGAGCATAACTGACCCTGCTGTTTTTCCCTCAGGCTGTACCGCAACTAGCAATAAAATCAGATGACTCCCACTCTTCCTTTAGACTCTGCTGTGCAGCCACATCCCTTTCCCTGTGCCAAGACCAGGGAATCATTTAACCAAGGCTAGAATCTAATGAACTCAGCAATCCAGGAATAAATACACTACTTTTCCATGGGTTTAGCCTCCAGTCAGAATCACAAACTAATCACAACCTATCCATTTATCAAACCACAAGAGTAACTACCAAGGAAGGGCAGGGGAATGGCAAGACCACCATTTGGAAAGCAATACTGTCCTAGGTTAGTTTAAAACCATGATAAAACTACAACACAAACTCCTGCCCGAAAATTCCTGCAAATACCCACTAAGTCTACCCCACATAGTCATGGGACAAGTAACAATGTACTTCCTTTACAAAGTTCCAACTGCTATTATACTCTGATCTTCCAGTTTTGAAAGAAAGATGACTCAGTGTTCAGCCACTAGACACACATAAAGGGATAAGGAATTCTAATCAGCTATCTGTCATCAATGTGGGACCACAATCTGCTCATCTTCATTAGGAAGATCCATCAAGATACTGTGATAAAAACACTAAGTGGAAAAAAGATCAAGAAGCCTATTGTAAATAGACCTCTGCATATATACTGTTACCTTTGCAGCTGGAGACTTGTGCATTACTGCTGTGAGGGCTTGAATGGTTGATACTGCCAAGGAGTCCAGGTGTCCCTGAAACACCTGAAAGTAGCAGGTACAGAAGTCATAAACAAATGTCCAAAGACGGTTGAGCTCCAAAATGTGTACTGTGCCCTCCTGCCAGGAGGGAAACCAAGAGTTTGGCAACATGCTTCAAAGATCATCTCCCCACCAGTCAAGATTTCATAACTCCACAGCCTACAAGGAATTACACCACAGTAGACAACTATTCACATACTTCAAGAGGAGAGAAGCATTCACAACACACGCTGCACTTCAAATATTCTGATGGACAAACAAGTTTTCCTCATGCGCCTAATGGACAACCTCAAGAGGGAGGGAGGAAAACAATTAGGAAATCTCTTGCAGTATGTGTGTGTGTGCTGCTGGACAATCAGGCACCTGCAGTTCATATAAAGTGTCTTCTTTTCCATCCAAGGCCCTACACACCAATGCAGCACACAAACACACAAATTATAAGAGATAAGTCACACAGGCACAGTTAGGTGGCTACCTCACCCATAGTCTCATCGCACTGATCAACACCTCTCTCTCTCCAATTTAAGCAATCCTTTGAGGTTTTTTTCTGTAATTCTTGTCTATATTGATTTTTCTATGGTGGTTTTAAGAACAAAAATGTTGGAGCACTATTTTGCATCCATCTGTAAGCCTAATTAGCAACACTGTACAAACAAATGTACTGTTTTCATCATCTCTGGAGCATTATATGCATCTCAGACATATTTTGAAAATCAAATGTCAAGAATTAGAAGACCATGTTAGATGTGAAGAAACATTTAGATGCGGTTAGAGCGTTGTGCTGCGTCCAAAAAAGCCAAAGCTATTAGTTAAAAATCACAATTTGTAGATTACCATCCCCTGTATTTAGCATTTCTTTACAGTTTTAATCAGAACAAATAATTCTACTATAAAATTAATACAACAATTTGCATTTGAAACTTTCCATAATATTTGGGAAAAGTAAAACAACAGGCTATTCCTACCTCCCTGATTCAGCCTGTCCATTGTTTTGTGAACATCTGTTCTTGATGACAAGCAAAGAATCAGGACACCAAACACAACCATTGAGATTCACAAACAAGGCCCCAGAATCCAAAACACAGCAGTGCTGAGACAAAGAAGCAAAAAAGAAGAAAACGAGGGGAAAAAAAATCACCACCAGATTGAGAGAATTTATTTGGATTCCATTCATGTACTTCACCTTTTCCTTAAAAGAAGCACAATTGAGGCCCAGTCTATTGCAAATATCTGCAATTTGAAGTAGATGAATAAAACATAGATTGAATTCAATCTGTTATTCAGAAAAACCATTTTCTGAGAGACAGGAAATACTGATGTGTGCAGCAACACAAGTTCAGCTTGCTGCAGAAGGCTTAAATAGGATGGTTAAGGTGAAGTACAGGAATCAATTTTCCTGTGATTGTGGCTTGACTTTGATTGAAGCAAAATACAGTTTAGGTAGGTACCTGGTCCTCATTCATTTCTGTCAGTAATTTGTTGGTAAGGTCTTTCTCACTCTTGTCTGCGACTTTATTGTTAGCATTTAAAAACAGCTGTTAGAGACAAGAATAATGGAAATAATTGCACATTAAACAGTTACCTGCAGCCAAACCTGTGGAGGCTGCCTTGGGTTTGTTATCACATCCCAAAAAAAAAAGAAAAAAGGAAAAAAAAAAGAAAGTGTTCTCACACTGGTGAGATGCAATCCTCCATTATTATTAGTCTTCTGTTAATTCTTAATACTGAAGATTACACTGTATTTTTTTCTAAAGAGTAATTACTTTTTTACCTCAAAAAAAAAAAAGAAAATATATAATTGCTGAGACAAGGAAAGAGATCTATTTGGAATTTATATTGGTCTCCAGTTTAGCATCTCTAATTTCATTTACAACATGCAAGATGACAGGAGGTTCTCAAAAATTTGCTTGTAAGAAATAAAGACAACAGTGGGGCACTAGCAAAGAAATGGATACAGATGTTTCACCACCTTCTACTTATGTTTCACCCTAGGTGAAGGCTGAAGATATCTAGACAGAATAATTTAATCTTCCAACAGCACAGTAGTAGAATTTCTGGGGCACACAGTCTTTCGATCAGGAAGAAAGGCAAAATATCTGACATCACCCTAAGAATCAGGAAGGTTGTAAATAGCTTTAAATCAAACATAAATCTATACTGGGTCTTCAGCAAAGGAACTGCTCTGTTTTTAGTAGCTAGATTCCTAGTCAGCTCCTGAATTTGTAAATTTAAAGGTCACCCAAATTCATAATTGATTGCAGTCAACTTGTGTGCAAAGTTTAGCTGTAACCTAATCAGGACTTAAATTTACCTCCTTCTGTTTTAAGTTTCTACCATGTTGTTAAAAAAATCCCTGACCAAAACATTTCAAAAGTCCCTTAAAAAAAAAAAAAGGGAAACAACACTTTCTTTTAGTGTTTCTTAGTGGTAAAAACTAAGCATTTGTCTTTCCCCACCCCACACAAACACACATTTTGTGCCATTATCTGCTAGACAGTCTCTCTGAAGAATAACAACCTGAGAAACCAACTTCCATAAATTAGGGCAAAACAAAGGACAACACTTAAGATATTGCTTTGACTTACATAGGTGTGAAAGCACATGGTTAGAAACATAAGTCATTTTGAAAGGTACATCACAGTCAAGAGCACTTAACAGTGCAGAATAACTATAATATGCCTCAGAGGGCTCTAACATTAACAACTAAGAATAAGAACATTAAACAGAAGCAAAAGCAGACATAAAAAAAAAATACATCGAATTTTTCATGAGCTACTTAATTTCTCATAATACATATTGTGAAAAGGAAAAATAGATTATTACAGTGACCATATGGTTTTAATATTTCCATTTAAAAAGCTGTTCAAAATTATTTTTTTTAACCAGGCATACTGCTAGAGGTTGTTGTGCTTTACTCAAAGTCTGACCTCTGAAAGAGTTTAACAGACAAGAAAAGATTCAGCACTGACAAACCACTTTGTTAAATGACTCTCAGAACAGAATAAGCACCTTCTGATACCTCTAAATTACAGTCCATCTCTTTGGATATCACAGGCGAAAAACAACACTCAAGATACAGTATATTTGAAAATACAAATATACTGTAACACCTACCCTATCTCTATCCTCCCCCTACTTCTCATCCTTGGGGGTATTTCGACTGTGAAAGGTTAAAAAAAGTGTACAATGTAGCAGACTCGAAGTACTGATACCCAATCACTCCCAGTGATATGTGAGACAGTATCACAGGAAAAAACTTTAAAAGAGCGCATCTTCTGACACATCTACAGTAGAATAAAAATAAAAAGAGCAAGTTGCAAAAATAGAGTAGCTGTTCCTGCTTTCTTAAATTCCACCACTTATTTGTGAGAGCAGGAACACAGCTGGACTCTCCATGAACAGATAAACTGCTGATGACTTCAGAAGAAACTAAAAGGGAAGTTTCTTGAAGTTTCTTATAGAGTACAAGGTTAGTACAAAAATAGGCAGAGATTCCCAAACAGAGGAGGAGAATGGAAAGGTCAAACAATGTATTTTCAGAAGATAATAAAACTACAAAGACTACTCAAAACAGTGCAAGCCAATTGGCATTCTGCCAGTGAATAGAATTACAATTAAGACATAATCCAAACACATTTATTTTTAATGTATCACTGCACTGAAATATGTTCTAATCCAAAATCTAAATGGATTAAGAAACAAATTGTATACTGTAGCTAACATTAAATTATCTAGCATCAAGAGCTCAAAACAGCTCTGTCACCCACATATCACAAAAAGAGAAAAAAATATTCCAGAGAGTTATATCTATGTTCTTTTACGCAAGGAAAAATCAAATCTACAAAGCAATCAGTGAAAGACATTAGTTTGCCAATTATGACCATCTGGGATTGAGACAAAAACACTAAATCCTATGTAGAAAAAGAACAATCAAAGAACATTTTTAACAGCTTGATCTCATGTTTTATGTCAGCTACACACAGGACTCATATTTTGAAACACTTACAATGGCACACTAGCAAGATTTTTTTTTTTAATGGAACAATATGCCTCTGAAATTAAGAGTTCAGACCTCCATCTGGCAGCAGTTGTGACTTCCTAGCAATCCAGTGACAGAATATAAAACAAACAAACAAATGAAAAAAAATCCTCACAACATAAACCAAAACAAAAAGGCAAGGGGGATGGTTTCCAGTAACCATCGTTAACAGATTTTAGAGACTGAATGGGGTCTGTAAAGGTATTTTGCTCAGGACTCAAAATAAGCATTCACTGCTTTAATCACAAGACAGACAAGAAACACCTCTACTTCATTAGCAATAAAAAACAGATTTTAGAGCAACTTGGATCTTTGAGATCTTTCATGACATTAGTGGCTCTAACCCATCCAAAGTTTCACTTTCAGTGTGCAGACACTTAAAAATTGCTTCTATTTCATAAGGAAGATGAAAAGATAATTAATATACTTATAATATTGCAAGACAGGTTCTGTTAAACATACTCTGATAAGGGAAAACATACCTTGCAGTTCTGCAACAGTCGAATGAGATGCTCAAAGCAGTTACTGTTAAGGAAAATTGCCTGCAGAACAGGCCTATCTGTGCAGTCTAACATGGCTGTGATGGTATCTATAAAATTAAAACAGAACTGGCATCAAAGGCAAAACACTTGTCAAATCCATCAAGCATTTTTTTCTGCACATTACATAATAGAAATAGGGAAAAAAATATACAACAACCAATATGCTCTGCATTCTTTGATCAAGAATGACATGTTTTAAGCACAGATCACTAGGCCTAGAGCTGAGCATTTTGATGCTGTAAAAATTGCCACATAACCTACTATATCTGGAGAAAAATTCAGCTAATTAATATCTTTGATTGTCTTGGAGCTCTGTTTGAAGTCATTGCCAGTTTGTAACACATGAGCAGCATTACTTTTTTTTAAAGCATATGAAGACTTGCTTTACTCTGCATTCTACAGCAGTCTTATACTGTAGCATTCACCACAGCCTCAGTACTATTCTTTAGTATTTGAGGAAGTATGGAAAAACAAGTACTTTTATTTCCCATTCTGAACACCAAAGTGGAAAAAACAAATCCCTGAATTCTTATCCAAAAATTTAGACCCAATTGTTTCAGACTATTACTTCTGGCCAACGTTTAGAAGAATGCCATTTGAAAAGCAAACTATCACAAAACAGCCACCACATGGGTATTTTATTACAGAACAGTCTTATTCTGCCATTACTAAGGTGCTGATGAGTGTCAGTTGTTGTCTAGCTACATTTTTCTTTTTTCATGGATACTGGCAGTCTACAAACCTTGACACTGGTTAAATGGTAGCAATATGATATAATTTCTTCTGGGGGTTTTCTTGGGGTGTTTTTGTTTGTTTTGGTTTGGTTTTTGATAGCAAATGATTAAATAAGAACATATGTAAAGTAACATCAAAGAAGAAATGTTAGAAAATTTTCAATTGCTTAGCCAAGTGAACATTTTTTGGTAGAATATTCAGCGATATTACTATCATAGCTCAATAATTACTTGCTATAGAGTTATTGTCAAGAAATATTTCAAGGAACTGGACAATTGGGTACTCACTCAGCATTTGGATCTGTAGTGCTATGAATCTGCTCTCCCACTGCCTGCATCGCCTCGCATTAGGTAAAGCTGAATGGTCTGAATTAAGCAACTTGAAATAGTTCTCCAATATTGTACTTGTCTCCACTTGACGCTGGTCAGAACTGCTGGTTAGAAGGATATGGACAACTTCTGTCAGGCACTTCAGAGTCAGCTCTGCCTTCCTGCTCACTTCCTCAGGGTTTCTGTCATCCCAGTTGTCACAATCTGCTAAAACACGCATCAAGACTTCCATGGTGGCAGGAGATACTGCTTGAAGAGCATTCCTCTGAAACCCATCAGGTAAAAATAATAATAAATTAATTTAAAAAAAATTAAACCTCTTCAAACCAGTAGTGTCTACCCAAATTATCTCAATTATGAAACATTCATTATTATGTCTATTATGTCTATTAATGTAGTTTTTAAATAAATGTGAAACATTCTAATTGGATTACATTGATGGCTACAGATGAAATGCATCCCATCTTGTTCACTTAAATAGGTTTTCTCTTTCAAAGAGAATGTTTATATGGAAAAGGAAATATAATTTAAAACATGTTACAAAATTCATATAAAGTAGCCTCAATAAACTGCTAATTCTAGGTAAACTTTAAATTGAATTTTCATTTCAGATAAAGAGATTCATGATACTTTAGAATTAGCAATAAGAATAAGAACATAATAATTAGCGAATATTTGTCTGGGCCCTGAGTGCACTCCCCTCACCTTTCTTCCTGGAGGCCTGACTGCGTAGGCTCAGGGGCACCTTAAATCTAGGACAGGAGCCCAGGCTTGTAGAGACCTTTGAGAAGCCCTGTCAGGGACTTCTTGCCCTCTCTAGGGAACTGCCTTCAAGCTTTGGCTCTCAACCTTTTACCTGCCTGAGCTACACTGCAGCCATGTCTGTGCCTGGCCACGTACTGTTGAATCTGACCCACAGACCTGACTGCCCAGCTTGACCTTAGACTGCCTCACGACTTTGGACGGGGCTGGTAACCACTGGGCTCTTGACTGACTCCAGTTACCATCACTAGACCAAATCCTTACTCTGACATGCTGACCAGACTTCCTGGTTTGATATTAGGTTTCATCACTACAGACTTGTCTAGTGGTCTGGGCTGGCTGACCCTGGTTATAACCACCAGACCTTGTTCAGGTATAGTGAGACTGCACCTTTCACCAGTTAGGTCAACTGCCTCTGCCTGTCTGGCCTTCCTGCTCAGTCTCAGCTTGCCTTCCCTAATGGAGCAGTGCCTGGCTTTGCAGCTCCCTGATAACATTTAAAACACTCTTTCTTCAGGATCATAAGAAGTAACATCTGCTTGTGACCAGAATATGCAGGATATTACAGAAGTCAACTGAGAAAGTAGATGTGGCTTTGATGATGATGATGAATACCCTCTTTTCTTCATATTCTTTCAAAGATTTTAAATTGCTTCCAAGGTGTAAGGGCCTCATGCCTCTTACTGAAACAGTTTACTTTCAACCTTGGAAGTAAGAGAGATCAACTTCATGTGTTGCTACAAAACTTTCGTCTTCGCAGGTGGAAATTCTTAATCTAGTTACCCACTTTAAATACTACAATAAGTTCATATGAACGTGTAGTTATTGTAAAAGGCAAACTTCTACTGTTATTTGAAAGCAAGACTCAGCTTTTAGCATTTAGATATTATTGCACAGAACGATCCCAAAATTCGTAAGATAGAAACGATTCGTAGTCAATAGTAAATTCTTCTTATTTATGGGTTATGGGGTATTTAAAAGCCTTAAGCAAGGAACAGACATTTGGAGGCTTCAGTAGCTGAAAAGGGTTTAGAACATCCTTACCTGACCACCAGCCACAATAGCTCCAAAGAGATGCAGCAGGCAACATTTCAGGCTTTCCTTGAGATGTTCACTTTCTTGAAAGCATTCTGATTGAAGTAAATAAAAAGGAGAAGAATTTCTTATTCTGGTCACATAAATTTTACCAAAATTTTCCTCTCAAAAAAACCCCACCAACAAATGAAATAAAAAAACCCCTGCCTATATTCCCTGTCATCATACAAATTAAAAAAAAAAAAAAATCAACTATATAATCTCCACTTTCTTTTACATAAGTTAGACACAAACACATCAATTCCAGCATTATCAAAGTAACATAACATGACCACATTTATCAAGAATTCTCAGGGCCAGACCTTCAGCTTGCATAAAACATTCAATGAAGGTTGACAGAACTATAGACACAACAACCGTTGGTCTTGATTTATAATGTAAAATAAGCTCATCTTGTCCCTACTAATGGGAAATAGAAAGATGTATTAACACACAATCAGTTATCAAGCATGACAAAGATGAGAGCAATTTTGGCATGGAAAGTCTGATGCCACATACAGTCCCTGAGTTTGCTCCCTTAAAGTCAAACTTCCCAGCAAATCCCACGCAGGTCTGTAACCTTTCTAGCAGCAATGTCTTTAAAGGCAGTTATCCTGCATCTCTTCTCATGCCATATCTGATATAAATTAGTTACAATCAGCCTCAGGAACTCTTTTTAGCAATATATATAACCTGGATATTTTTGAAAAAGCAATAAAACTACACTCAAAGTAGCTGTAACAAACTACAATGGATTATTTTTTGGAATTAACTATTGTAAAACTTCCAATAACTTTGTAAAATAAAACTGATAATTACCTGGGTTTGTAAAAACTGAGATTTTAAAGAAACATTATAAACTGAAAATGAGATTTTTATATGCATTAAAATAATAATATGACCTTTAAGACAAGTACTAGTTATTGGCAAGTAAGATTTCTGACTATATACTGAAGGTATAAGCCTGTTTTAAAAGAAAATTGCAGAGCTAGTTTTTAAATCTGTTCTTCAAACTAAACAAAGCTTAGATGATCACATTGTTAGGGTGTTAGTACCACCACTCCCTTAACTTATAGCCTCTGAATCTTTTGGAGAACCTCAGACAAATATAAAAGAGCAGTACCTAGCAGATTGTGAACAAATCATTAGGTTGGGTGGACTAAAAACCTTCAAATTAGTCCTGTCATGGTAGAATGTCTAAAGCACGTGCTCGGCAAATTCTGTCTTTTCTGTCAGTTGGTCAACAAGCAGATGAGCATTTGTCTGCTAATCAGCACAACTTTAGCTCAGTCACATTCTATCATGTTTAAGAGACTTAGGAGGAACCACAGTGCACTGTACTGAATGGAGAGAACCTGCAGATGACACTCTTCAGTAGCAGTCTTTAGAGTGGGTTTCCAGTGCTCTCGCACATAGATAATGGCATTTTAGTGGCATCAGCAATTTGGTCTTTTTGGCAACTATCCTATTTTATGTACATAGTGATTGAATCTCAAGGAACAGGAGTTGTGACTCAAACCTAGAAAATTCAAATTCATGAATGCTACCACTCTAGGAATAGAATCTTCCTTTTTTATTTTCAATTAAAAACAGATAGCTGCAAAAAGGGCTGATTTCACTCCTTCACTTCCCATTTCTCAGTATTGTTCCTGTTGCTTCAGTTCTGTTGGCACTATCACTTCAGTATGCTAAACCAGCAAACTAGCTGGGCATCCCACCTTCCTGAGATTTAAGTACAGAATATGGACATGTAAGTCCTTCTTTTCCACACAAACAATCTATAATGGTAAGAACATATGAATCCCAAAGCAGTCATCATGATATTTAATGACTTAACCAGAGAGAAAACAGAGGAGTTTCCCAAACTGAAGCTCAAGGAGCATTTGCTAGTTGAATGGCACAGAGCTCCATTCTTTCTGGCTGTTAAATCATATTAAAGAGACAAAAATGCAGGAACACTTTTCTAAGATTATTTTTCCATAAGAGTTATCAGCACAGTTGCTACAGGAACCTTATTTTCACTAATAAACGGAAAAGTTGGCAATTCACAGAACCAACCCTATTAAACCATGTTGGGTACTGAAATAAAGTCTGGAAAAACAAAAAAAAAAAGGCTTTCAAAGATGAGAGGGGGAATAGCAAGATAGTGACGCTCCAAGCAAAAAACAAGCAACCAAAGTAACCCACTTCACTCAGCCTCAGAAAGTGAGGGGCTTTTACACTGTCAGGCATTCTTAGGAGAAAGTTACTTAGGATCACTAAGTTCAGTCCTCTAAAGATGACAATTTTAAAGAGGCTGTTAGTGATACTTACGGTAAAAGAAAGGGACAAACTCGACAGTGAGGGAAGCTGGTTTATACTTCTGTCTGCTCCTTTCAACTGTACTAAGGAAATGTCTGCAATTACATTAAAAAACATACACCAAAGAAATTAGATATGATACTTTGTTTATGACATACTTTTTAATTTATTTCTCATAATAGTAAATTATAATAGGACTTATAGTAGAAAACTGCCAAAAATCAGGAGTTATCTTTTGCCTACAGGATTGACAAAGCATAGTGAAGTAGTATTTCACCCTGAAAACATGAATCACAGTTAATTCTGTATTCACTGTTCTGTTTCACCTAGAAATGGCTTAATATTTTACAAAATGATTTGGTTTTTTTTAAAAAATAAAGAAGCCAGCAATCTCTTATTTATTCCATGCTTATTGTAACTAAGCCATCAGCTAGACTGCAAAATGTTTTAACCATGCAATTTGAAATGGGCACAAAACATTATTATGGATTCCCTAGGTGAGAGGGAACCATCACATTAAAGGGTTATAATTCTGTTGATACATTTATAAACTTATTTTCAAAGATGCAACATATCTATACTGTGAGCTTCAACAACTTCTTTTGCCCTAATTCAACCAGGTCTGCATACTACTTTCCTCTTGGCTTCTTTGTTCCACCCATTTAGAAAAATGGGCCAGTTGTTAAAAGGAGAAAACAACAACAGGACCTTCATGATGGTCAGTTACAACCAAACACCACTTAGTATACCCTCAAATTTAATTTTCTTTTAACTTTTAACTTCTAGACTGCCAGTGAATATATTATAATTTTAAAAAGTTATTTAAACCCTATCCAATTTCAGAAAGCATAACACTTCTCTGTGGTGTGATTCTGTTGATTCATGGTTAAAGTTATCATAAACTACAGTGTTTACAATCCTGTCTTAGTCCATGCATACCCTGCAATTCGCTGCCTCCAGTTTCGATATGGATCGTAGAGACTTTCACAAAAAGCCAGTGCATGTCTCACAAATTCTTCTATGGGGGTCTGATCTGCCACTTCTTTTTCTTTAGTTTTGCTTTTTAACTGAAAAAAAGAGAGCTGCAGTCAGAAAATTTCTAGATGTTGAAAATCAATCTCAATCACCTCCAGAACAGTTCAGGCCCACAAACTGTTCTCCACAGAACACTGTTGTTGAAAAAGTAGATCAGATAAGCAGGAACAGGAAGTATCAGAGGGTAAAAATAACTGATGGGAATTGTTAACCACGTACCTGTTGAATGTATAACGTAGTCATGGTGATAACATGGTTAATGTATGAGCACATCCCAATCTCCTCCACATTGGCCAAATTCCTATGAATACAACATAAAAGCCACAGAATTGTACACAGTGTACTATTTGAAGCTAGTTCAAACAATGTTTGATTATAGACAGAATGCTAAAACATACAAAAGTATACTAGCATTTAAAAAATACTCTCCAAAAGACTGCATGTACTTAAGTGTTTACTTCTGTCACAGTAACAAAGCTCACAAGTTTTCATCTAACAGGAAGAAAGGCTCAAGTCACTCTGCTGTAGGCCAATTCTTTTTGGAATTTGGGGTTTCAGAGGTTAAGCAGATTCCCAGGACACTCTAAATAGAAAGCTCAGAAATGGCATCTGATAAAAGACAATAACTTCCACTTCTCCCACATTACTAGTGCATACACTTTCTAAAACTTTAGCAAACATATACCTAGAAACATTTATTCACTTTAAATTCTCCCGAGGAAAACAAACACCTAATAAATTATTTTAGAACATAAATAAAGCAATGACAAAGAATTTCTCAGTCTTGAGGACAAGTCACAAAGATCAGATACCAAAGTAATGTTGTAAGGAGAACTATTCAGCAAGTAAGGCTGACAATAGTTTAATTCAAAAACACATTATCACCAGGTACTCAGCTTATACTTAATATCCCAGGATACTTAAACACTGCCATACACAGCTCTCTGTATGTTTCAGAGGTAAGGAGAACTAAAGGACTCAAAAATGCTGCCTCAAATACTCCTGAGAAAAGCGGGTTCCCTATTATATTTTATTCCCTTCCTCTCTCAATGTACTTCACAATAGAATACTGAAGAAATAGTGTGGAATAGATCTCTAAATGCAGTTTATTCATTGCTTCAGTGCAGAAGTTTCAGAAGGAAATCAGCTGCATTAATAGTGTAATAGAAGTTTCATAAGCTGTTTCTGGAATGCTAAGCATGTTTAAAATGCTAAACAGTTCTTCCTGTACAATTCTCTCAACTTATTTCACATCTAACACTTGTTAGAGTGTACTTTTTCTTTTAAAAGTATTTATTATACCAGTATCTCGTATCTTGAATTCCCATAGATTTATCTTCTGTAATTACAGAGAATCTAGCACCTAAACACCTTCTATTCCCTTTCTCATAGCAAATATTATTGCTAAGATTATTGCATTGTACCCTTCTCTCTTTTATTCCCTCTTCCTTTAATTCGAAGATTGTGAGAAGTGGTATTTCTGTTTCTACTGGAAAACATCAAATCACATTATATGTGTCATTAGAATCTATATTTATAGGCTGTGTCAAGATTTCTTAAACAAAACAATAGCATTGCTGAGGTAACAATCAGAACAAATACCTGCAAAGGATGATAAAGAATTTCACAAGTAGAAGTGACAGAGCCTGCTGCTGCTCTTCTAGGCCATCTGACATTTTCTGGACACACTGTAGCAGCTGGAGTCTGAGGACCTGAAGAATGTTATCAGGAAGCAGTGATATTCCTGGTGGAATGTCATCCACTCTAATGAGAAAACACAGACACAAAATTGTTAATACAAATGACATGGTAGGAATCAATTTTCATGTACTCATGTAGTGTTCCAGCGAAGTTCCACAGGAAAGGGGACCAAACTGACAGTTCATGAACAGTTTCTAATGAACCACAAGGAAATGTCTGGTGGCAATACACCAGCTTGAGTTTTCTTTATCCCAGTAACAAACTGCATTTAAAAAAGTGTTGAAATTCAATAAGTGGCTTCCTAAATGCTCCTCCATGCAATGAGCTGCCTTAATTGCCACAAAGAAATTGCATGATCTTCATCAGGTAAACAGGTAGCCTGGGAAATCCCTAAGTAAGGAAAAGGAGAGTCACAATGGAATGAAACAACATAACACATTTGGGGGAAGATTTTCAACTGTCTACTGAAGACTAAAAGTGTCCAAATAAATGAGGTGCCAATTATTATATAGTTATTGAAACCCAGTTAGTATTCACCCACAGTGAACCTCACGACTTTCTTACATAAATTTCAAAAAGTTGTACAAAATTATCTTGCCTATTGTTTTTTTGCTGAACTAAACCATTTTTAGAAATACATCAGTGAGAACCAAAACATGAAGAAAAGAATGGGGAAAAACCCCCACAAATAAAACCAAATACACCAACAATCCAGGAACAACCATATGGAAACGCATTTTTGCAACAGTATAGAAACATACAGATCTGTTAGAACATTCATTGGGATGAATACTGTTTATCTGCTGTAGCACATGCAAAAAAGAGTTAGCTTTTGGCAGCAGCTTCTGACACATCTTCTATGAACTCTACACAGGAAAAGGAAGACAAAAGCAAGAGCCTTACAGCTTACAAAAGCCTTCAACATGGGCAAAGCCAGGGGAAATATAACCATAAAAATTCATCTAGCACAAAAACTCACTAATATGATAGTTGCATACGCAGATCTGTGCAAAAAAGTGTGGAGAAATGCAATGACTGACACTATACACTGTGATAGTTATTATTTGAGGCAAATGGGGTACAATACATTGTTCAGCTTCTAACATCAAAAAGGCAGCCTACATAGAAGGGAAAAATGGAGATCTAATTTAGTAAAACATCTAGACAGGTGTAAGTGACAGCAAGCTCTTCTATCCTAGAAAACAAGTGTTACCTGTACCTATGCAGAGGACCACATACTGTTCATTTCCTTGCCTCTTCACAGAGTTGTGCAATATGCTTTTCAGATCCTGGGATTCAGAATCTCAAGGGAGTCAGAAAGTTGTGGCACAAATTTTATTGTGCCTGTAGGCTCTAAACTGATAGAGACACTAACCACAAAACTGAGAGCAACTGCTTTTTTCCAACACAAATACAAAGAACAAGATTTTAATTTCCCTGATAACAACTTTACCCCTCAAGATGCCAGGAGATCCGCACTCTCTGGAACTACAACCACGGTTCCTCATAATCTGATAACTCAGTTTTTGTATTTCAGAGTTTGATTATGTCCTCTCAGTATTAGGAAGGCCATAGTTTTTGACAGCTGAAATCATATATCCAAAAGTTATTTCCCAAAAATGGCCAACAAGTCTTTTTCAGTAAGATCATAAAATGCTTTACAAGATAGCAAACAGCATACCCTTCATGCCTCATATCCCAAAGAATGTTTTCTCTGCAGTAGCTGCCTGTCTGTGCTATTGCACAATCCATGAGAATTTAGTGCCTCATGTGAGATCAGCATGAGAAATCCTAGTTGAGATTACTCAAATTTACATACTATAGAGTATGTAAAATAAATAGTAATAATCAAACTTTTTTTCACCTCAGAGCAAATTACTACTATAACTCCAGGAAAATCAAAAAGTTACATTTGTTGACATGTAGTACCAGTTCTCCCCAGCAAGACTGGTTGTTTAAACTAAGTATTCCAAAAAAAAAAAAAAAAAAGAAAGGAAAAAAAGAAACGTCAAAGATCATATCTTAACTGACATTCTTATTTGACTGCTGGTACCCTACCTCAAAAAAAAAAAAAGAGAAAGAACTTTACACATTTGGGTTCTTTTTATTTAGTTTCCTTCCTTACATTAAGAGGGTTATGCAGCAATACAAACTGCTATCTCAGGTGTCTGAAAGGAAGTTAAATTATCCCAAAATTGTATGCACCCATTACACCTCTAACTCACACACTGGGACCACTCCCTCACCAGCAGTAAGCACTTGGGAAAAAAGTGCTGTAGAAAACCAGGTTTTACTTTTCAACAACCAGGAAACCACATAATAAGCACTCCTATCATGATTCCTGCATCATTTTTATGAAGTCAGTAAGTTAACAAAATATGGTTTCTATGGTACTTTACATGAGCTTCCTGTAAGCTCCTTTACTCAAGATCATGTAAACTAAAAGCAGAAAAAGAACATGACAACACTCTGGATGCCTTTGCTATTTCTAAAAGTATTAAACCAAGTGACAATTCCTCTTTTTCAATGAGGAGAAAAAAAATCTTCCCACCAGCTGGTAAAGGGTTTATCCTTTACATGATAAATACGTATGACATGAACACATGTTTTTAGGGAAAGAACAGACAGGTGCACTGGTCTTTTGTGCCCAATGCTCAAAGCTGTCAGCATAGCTATATTCACCTTCTCAGCAAAATCATTAATAACACTATCAAGGAGCCATTTCACTTAAGAATATAGAGTAGATGCACAAAGATACAGGTAGACCTGTAGCTGTATAAGCCTATAAGCTGCATAATTGTATAAACTCTACTTATACAGTCAAATCGTACCACTGGATACACTCATCCACTACATTTAGAGGTTTCCTAATTCTGCACTGCATAGCATCTTTCACATTTCCAAAGCAGATCTTGGGAAATTATATATTCTAATTTATAGAAGAAATAGTCTTATGAGTTAAATCAGCAAGTAACAGTGTCAATTAAGAGTCCTTCTTTCAGGAAAAAAAAATCCTAAAACCAAACCTCTAACAGAATCTTTACATTTTCAAAGTGGTATTTTCTTGGATGCTAAAAAACCCTTCATGTTTTAAATTGACACAAAACTTTATGCCTGTCTTCCAAAAGGTTAGTTTAGTCCAGCAATCTGTACAAGCTTTCTTCTCCCTACACAGTTTCTCATTATTTCTTGGCATTAGCCCTTCAGTACACAAAGTCTTGCAGTCATATAGCTGTAAAACATACCAAGATTTATAGAAGGAAAAAAAAAAGGAAAGGAGAAAAAGTATCAGTTCAGTCACTTTCTCATTTTAGCTGGCATCATATATTTTTTCAAGACCAAAAGACAGAATTAGTTGTCTAATAAGCAATCGAGTTAAAAAAAAAAAAAAAAAAAAAAAGAGTCCACAGGGTCTGATGGCCCCACAAGTAACTGGAAATCAGCATTTGGTGGTTCCACAATGACCTACTTTTCTTTTTAATGGGCCCAGTACTATCAATTTCACAATGTGAATGCCCACAATACAAACTGCCAAACCCCAGAAAGATGCCATTTCTCACATGCCTAATTATATCACAAATGTAAATAAGGGTAGAAACTGTAATTATTTGTTAATTCTAATATCTGCTCTCAGTGTATTATTTTTAAACCAGCCACAAAAGCACAGGAATGATTTGCCTTCACCACTGTGTTGTTTTGATGCTTTTCCATTACATCTGTTACACAAATGAGTCTAAATCCACATGGTTCTATTCTTTCAGACTAAATCACTAATCCTGTCATTAACCTCAGAAAAATACATTATTTTTACACTCACTAAGTCATCATTTATCACGATGAAGGTGCTACTATTGTTCTCAACAACTAAGCTTCATGTTTGTTATGCTGCTGAAAAAACCCAACCCAAGACCCATGAACACATAAACTAAAAACCACTTAAATTACAAATAAACTGAAAAGCACCTACAGTTGAAGTACCAAGACATTCTTCTCTTCCCCCTTCATATTTTAATATTAAAAAGTATAAAGATAACCTGTGTTAAAGGATAAACTCTTTTCCTCAACTAAACACTCTAAGATGCATTTTTGACACTGCAAAGAAAACCTATCTTCTGAAAGAGTATACAATTAATTTGAAGGTCTTGCTTATTGGTAATTGCATTACATATTTAGTATTCATATAAATTTTAATACAAAGAGCTGAGAAGGCCAAGTTTTATCCACCAAGATCCAGTTGCAGCATTCTTCATTTCCTTGTAACAGTAGAAGCTATCACTTACACTTCAAACAGGATCTGATCCAAAGCCCATTAAAGAATTTCCATTGATTTCAACAGGGCTTGGACTGCAGCCATCATGCAGGGAGCACCATTCTTTGCTTTCAAACATCAGTAGTGGTATCAGCTATAATACTGACACGAGTTCTCATGAATTCTGATTCCCATAACCTTTGTTTTTTCTTAAAACCCTTAGTTCATCCAAGCATCTCAAAAGCAAGAGAAAACATCCAGTGCTTAAGTTTCTATTCCTCATGTGCAAAGTTAGACATGAAAACACAATCATGATAACACACAGTATACCAATCTAAAATATTAAATATAAAACTCTGAAATTAGACTTCAATAGCATCTCATGATTATATGTGAGAACTTTTGGTCAGCAACATGAGTGAAATCAGCAATACTCTTACCCTAAACTGAAGTCTTCATAGATGCAAAGAAATCACTTTAAAGTCTATAACTGGTGCATATTTTAAAAGGTTTCCAGCTGAGTAAATCTTTCATTAAGCATTTAATCTCATCATTAATCTTAAAGCAAACCCTGAAATAAAATTACAAAACTCTTTACTTACATCTTGATTCTCTTTAGTCACTGATGATGCAGATAACAAGCACTAATACTATTTCATATGCAACATTTAATGAATGCTCATTCAAAAAAATGCACCAGGAATAATGATTATATTTCTACAAACAAGAACACGGCATACTCATGCCAGCTCCCAAGATAATGCAAATACCAGTATTTGCCTAGTTTCATCATTCCTAACCCAACTTGACCTTCAGATAAATGGTAGTGCCACCTGACAACTAAAAATCTTTCTTTTCTTTAAAGGCAGTACTGCCCTTGAACAAGACTGGGCTCTTAGCCAGATCTGGTTCAGATATCAAGGACAGATGAACATGTAATTCTACATACCTAGTTGGCAGCTTCTCAAAGTCCACATCCAGAAACTGTTCATAGCTAGAAACAAAACTATCCAACCAGAGTTTCAGGTAGTCTGGATCTTTCTGTAAGAAAGAAGAGAACATTAGGCAATATTGCACTCAAGGTCATCCATCAACAACTCGGTAGTACTACCTGGAATGAAGAGCTTGTATTTAATGCATTTCAACTGGGAGAAAGGAAGGAATACACATTTTGTAGAAGTAAAATAAAAAATGACCACCTGTATCCTTTGAAATTTTCAGCCACATGGTGCTGATCTGACATTCTTGCTCTATTAATTAATGTGTCTCCTCTTCCTGGTACCAGGGTCAACCAAAGCATTTTAGCTTCTCCCCTCACCAACAATCTTCACTTGCTCTCCAAAGTAATCCATACCAGCTTTACAAACTCACTACTATGTGTTCTAGTCTTGATACCATAGATATTAGTAGACAACGCTCCTTATGGCTCATAAAATTAAATAAGAACTTGAACAGCAATCTTAATCAAGAAATAAATTGTTTTTTGCTTCATTCATAGGTCAATATGGCAGCTAGCAGCAGATTAGAGACAGATGGTGTTCGAAAAGACAATGCAGAACCGGTGACTTGTATACTAGATATCTATAAAACAGATCGTTTAAATTTAAATTCCTTTCTAGTTGTTCCTAGCAGAGCACATAGACTCTGGGACCAGCAGTCCCTGGCACAGTTTCCAGCCCTGAGAAGGGAGGACAGATAGACCACAGCAAACCATACAGGAAAATTCTGTCAATATGCATTTGAGGTAGACTCCCTTCAAAAGTCAAGCTGCTTAATTTTCAAAAATAAGGTGCCAGACCATAGCTAACATATTCCTCCACAAGGACTGTACATGCATGCAGGCCCACATTCTACATCACAAATCATTTTCAAAAAAGCTTTAAAGTATTTGCCAAAAGTATTGAAGATTATTAATTATTTGTAAATCTACTCCATAATTAATAAAATTTTGCAAAAGTTGAAAACCTTTTTATTCATCCTTCTCTTTTCCCTTTTCTGTATCATCTCCCTTTTGCTTATTACCTTTATATTACCACAGATGTTCCCAAATAACAGATTATTTCCCTGCAGAGTTAAGACTAAAGAGTGAATAACTCTCAGACACACAATATTTTGGGGCAATGTCAATGTAAAAGAAAGAGTCAGCAAGAAAGAGTGACACAGAGTCCTGTCAGTGCAAAATAACTGAAAGAACCCTCTAGTGGAATTAAAACAAAACAAAACAAACAACCTCAGAATAAAATAAACATGCAAATCCAGAATCTGACCTGGTGCAAAGCTTTTCTCAGAGCACCTTTCCACAGCAAGTATAGGAGTTATAAAGCATGGGAATCCCCTTCCCACTCTAGACTTTACCCTTCTCTGTGCCCCCAAAGACCACCGTAACTCAAACAAGAAGTGACAGAAACACCCAGACACAATTTACTTCAGAATCGTTATTCATGTCTATGAAATATGTTCAGATATTGTGACAAGAGGTGCCAAATAAAACCCTCAGCTAGATACAGCTCTTGTTTGATTATTTGCTTCCACTGCCTTTACTGCATTTTCTTGTTCATTTTTCCTAATTGTCTTATTTCCCCTTCTTCACTTAATTCCTAACCTCTCCTTCCTTCATAATCTTTCTTTTCCTCATCTCTGCTTTTATTGACATTTCAATGATTTAAGTAATCACTCCCTTTCTTTTTCTGCTAAAAATTTGTCAAAAAAGCCTTATGTCCTGGAAGTGTAACGTAGTCTTGTTCTCATGTTTAAAATGCACTGAACCACCAAATGGTTAAGCTCTCTTAAACACACCTATTAATTGTCCTCAGTGTGAAATTGCAAAACACCAAATGAAGGAAGGTGCTGAGGTAAAGAATAATTTCAAGGTTTCCAAGATACTGCATTAAGATACAGAGGATGTCAGATTATCAAAAGCAGGTGACCACAGAATACATATTTCTGAGGTTCAGAGATCAAACACATTGAAAATCAAACCAAAAGTTAGGCAAGAAGTAAAACTTTCCTAAAATAATGATTTAAAAGTAGTAGAAGATGCTGTCTTCAGATTCTATAGCTTTTTAAAAATGTTCACATATTTAAAGCTTTAACTTTCTTGTATTTCACAGTAAGTTATTTCAGCCCCAGGAAAGCTATTTCACAGGACCATAAAGACATGGAAAACCAGGATACAATTTTAGTAATTACAGTATAGTTCAGGCTACAAAGGACAAGGCAATAGCAATTATGGGGAAGTAACAAACAGAAACACTGCCATGTGTTTGTAGCAGTGCCTCTAATGATAATGCCCATGCATGTGCAAAAACTCAACTTATTTGACTTTCTTCCTATGGAATGAGTAGCTTTGTTTTTGCTTGACATGAGCAACTTCTCCTTGAAATACAACATGAAATACTAAATCAATTCTATTCATATTCCCACATTAAAATTGTTTGTTGACACAGTTGAGGCTCATTGCTAATTGCTGACGGTAAACTTGTGTAAGAAAAAACTTTGTTTTTCTTAGTCAGGTACCATGAAAGAAGATGTGCAAATAACATCCTTATCTGACTTAAAATTGCTTTAACAAAAAGTTAAGGATGAGAAAAGGGAAAGGGTAGGGCAAATCACAAAATTAGATTCAATGCCTGCTTGCTCCTTTTTACTAGTATTGCCTAAATCACAGAATCTGCCAAGTTGGAAGGGACCCACAAGGGTCATGAGTCCAAATCAGTTCCAAGCTTCCTTCTCTATAAACTACAATGCCTTTGCAAGGCTATCAGTGCAGACTAGGAATAGGAGAACATTGGCAGAAAAAACATGCAAGAAAAAGCAATTACACAGATGACAAAAGTAAGCGTCACACGTTATTAAAAGGTCCAAAGGTTTTGCCTATCTGTAGTGGACATATTGCTTAATTCCCTTTGCCACTAACAGTCCTCCCAGTTCCGGTAAAAATCAAGAGCTGCTGCACTGTTTGATCATTCCCTGCAGGCACTATTTAAGCCAACTCCCATCTACTTCAATCCCCTCCCAGCCAATTAATTATGCAATATCCCAAGTTATTAAAATAATCAGTTCTGATATCAAAATACCAGGTAACACTACTGGCCTATGCCAGTAGAAAACAGTTCAGGCAATAGTGGGCTCTCTGAGTCAAATCCAGAGATTTCCATCCAAGCAATAGCACTAACTCAACATCACTTGGAGAGAAAATTTTTTAAAAACCACGAAGGCAATAAAGTAAACAGTATCACTTAGCAACATAAGAAACACCAAGAAATAAGTGCCCATTATAAGCCAGCTAATAGGAGCATACCACCTTTCCAGAAATGAAATAAAATGAAGATTTATGATCGAGGAGTACATCAATCCAGGAAAAAGTGACCCAATATTTAAGAGTTTGGCTACAATTAAGATACGTAACTGATTTAAAAAATGTTAGAAAACACTTTTCAAACTTTTAATCTGGCCCAAATTTTCCTTTTTCTTTATTAGCAGCAATCAGCCCAGATCCCATACACCAGTCACCTGTTGAAAGCTGCAAGAAATCTAAATTTTACTAAAGCAGATTTAAGAAAGAAAACTGAAAATGGTAAATGTTATCCTTGGCAAAGTACACAAAAATGTCCAATCCTAAAACACTGCTACATGCATACAACCTTTCCTAAGACCTGTTTATGTGTGTCATGCATCTTATATTTTCCCAAACCAGAAGTATGGTGGCTTAGGGGAAAAACAGTAAATTCTAATTTTGTAATAAAACCAAACAGTAATAGCGTGTATCAGCTGTTGTCTTGCACCATGATTCTATGAACAATGCAATTATCCTATCCAGCATCTTTAGGTTGAACTGAATTATTTTTTGAGGTCAGCTGCTGCCATTTAATCTGGAGTTTAAATTCAGTGGATTTTAGACTGTGTTTCTGTTAAGTTCTCTTTCCACCCACCTTTTCAACTATCCTCTATTTTCTCATGACAGAAGTGGTAAACCACGTGAACAGCAGAACGCAAACTGACCTAACTCTAGCATGAATACCATTGTGTTCTTCAATGCCAGAACAACTTTCCAAGCCAGTACATGTTGCAATATGACAAATATCTGTGTTATCACGTGGCAGAAGACTGCACCCCATGGGTATGGCAATTCTTCAGATCTGTGCTGCTACTGAGGGCAACAAATGACTGAACTGCAACCCCAGCTCCAATGGATTCATTGCAAATGGTCAGCTACTCCATTATATCTCAGTCCTCTTAAGGAAGTAGTGTCTCAGCCACACCAGAGTAAACACTCAGAATCCTTACTACCAGCAGAAGCAGTAAAACCTATGGAGTATATTTCTTATTCCCCACTTTGATAATTACTGTTTTGTTATCATTCTGCAGACAGGCAGCTGGAGGCTGTATGTCAGACAGTAGCTCTGCATCGTTTTCTGTGGTGCTGGTTGAAGATGCATCACACTTCTAAAGCACAACTTACAAAGCCATGTATGTTTTGATAATACACCACAAGGCTGAACTGTGACAAACCCATTTGAGACTGGTATTCGTTCCCAGCCACACCACACACACTCTGCAGACATGCCCTATGAGATCAGCAAGAAATCAAAATTTTTGATTTGTACAACAGCAGTAAAAGCAGAAAGAAGCTGTGTGTGGTAATAAAATACCTTTCACCCATCACAGCTTTCCAACTACTGAAAGAAGATGTTGATCTCTGAAACCTTGAAGCTTTCTAAGTCACAAGCCTAAGCTTTTCATTTATTTACCTGGAACTTGCCTAGCTTTTGTGCAAGACAAATTTCTGTAACTTATCTGAATAATAATTCATATATAGAAACTGCATGCCTTGAAACTTCTGGAAGATAATTTCTCCATGGTTTGAAATCCAAGAAGACAAAACTCAAGTTAGCCACTTCTCTTCACAGTAATAAATGAAAACAACTAGAGTTTCAACAAGGCTATCTTAAGGGTGCCATTGTGAGAGAAGGGTAAATCTAAGAATAAAAAAAAAAAAAAAATCACAACCAAAATAAAGAATCAAAGAGTAAAAAAAACCT